GTGCTGTGCCTGATACACCATGGGACACAGTGGGCCCATGTTAGCTCCCAGAGCACACTGGTGACACTGGTGGCAGAACAGTCAGGGCTGAGAGCAGCTGACCAGCAAGCTACAATTCAGCCCGCTCATTCTGGTGTTGAGACTTCAATAGCAGGACTATCTGAAGAGCAAGGATTGCCAGGCACCAGTGAGAAAAGGCTCAGGACTCAAAGCTGCTGGAGCACAGCAAGGGTTCACCACAGACAGCTCTCTTCCCAGCTTGCAGAGACTGGGGCTGCCCAACACAGGTGTGCGCACACACCTTCAGCTCACCCTCCAACAAACCTCTATTTCCCACCCCATTACTCTGGAGCCAGATTGAGGAGCACTTCCAGCCTTTTTTGCTCTCAAACTGTGCCTGGAGAAGGATTCAGCCCAACACCCTGGCTGCAATCTCTGCATTAAAATCCCTCCCATCTTTCTCAGGCTGGGGCATCCTGCTCCAGGAAAGTGCTGCTGAGAACACAGCAGCTGATTTGGCAAAGAAAGCCTCCTGACAGTGGTGCTACCAACATCCAGGACAAACAGCTTGCTTTGTCAGTGCACAGCAAGCCTGTGACACTCCTGGTGGTACTGCACAGGAGGATAAGCTAGGCGTTTCCTTGGGCTACCCAGCAGACAAGGAGATATGGATTTATTAGAGCTTCACTCAAGGGCTTTGGGTGATGAGTGGGATTTCCAGATAAACTTTAAGCTACTTACAGCCTCTGCAAACTCCCTTAGATCCTCTGATGAATAACATGAGAGACACTGAGAGAACCACACAAAGCTGGAGACATGCAGCACTATACCACACATCTCCCTTTTCTCCCTTCTTCTCACTATCCTTGGCTTTACTGAGAACTCCCAAATAGTCATAAACCTACAGAGGCAGGGTCAAGTACTACAGGCAAATTCCAAAGTTGTGCAAGATGTGCCTTTTCCACTCACGGAGGTCAAGAAGTAGATCTCAGAAACCCTGGGCAGACAGGGAAATCCCAGAGCAGTTTCAGGTGGTGCTAGAACAGTTACACTGCTTGTGTGAGGCAGGCACGCCTTGGGAAAATCCCCATGAGGAAACAGGACTCGCCCACAGAGGTGCTGTCCACTCAAAGGAAGGGACAAGCTCCATCATAAATGTCAGAGCTCCTTGCCCACCCCATGTGGAAGGTATATGTAGGCTTCACTGCTCACAAGAGCAGCGGCTCTCCTGCCCTCATCCTGGGACAGGCTAGGGGCCATCAGTATCTCACTGCTCCCCCAATTCAGGCATCCCAGCAGCCACAGTGGAGCCCAGAGGGAATCAGCAGTGGGCTCTTCTCACTGACCAGCCCCATGCACAGCACCTTACAGTGATGCTGCAGCATTCAGTGGCTTTGGGGACCACTTTGCACCCTCCCTCTGTACAATCCTCAGCACAATGCTCCTCTCTTCCTCCCCTAGCTCTTCTGCAGGCCTTCAGCTGCAGAGAGGGGAAGGAGGGACACCAACCAGGGAAGAGAGCTCAGCCTGCCCCAGCTCACTCCTCAGGGTCCCTGCTGAGGGGCCTGATGAGCCATGAAGCAGCTGGAAAGGCAAAGAAACTCTGCATGGCAGACATAGGAAGCAGCGAGGCGCCAAGACTATCTGTGTGCTCCCGTTATCACAGGCACACTGCTGCAACAACAGCACCTTATCACTGCCCTCAAGTCAGAGCTCCTCACTGTCCCACTGAGGACCCCACGGAGCTCAGGCTGCACTTTGAACTCCCAGCTCATCCCCCAAACCCCTGTGCTCCCCGAAAAAATGTGAATGCAACCCACATGTAGAGAACAGCACCATCCAGGTCTCCAGACAGGGGCAGGCAGAGCAAGAATCCACTCTCCAGCCCTGTTATCAGAGTTTGGGGGCTCCTCTCCTCAGTGGTACAGCAGCTCAGGCAGATCCCAGGGATCCCAGGCCTCAGGTCGGCGGGTCCCCTCATCCCCACCCTCGAGCCATCCTTCCAAGGGAGCAGGGACAGTCACGCGCAGCAATGTCAAAGCTCCTCTCCATTTACCAGAGCACTGCTGCTTCAGCACTTTCCAGGGGCTAATGGAGTGGCTCAGCACCACGAGAGGAGCAGGTCGATGGGGAGGCAGGGGGGAAGACGCAAGTAGCTCCTGACTGCCCTGCTGGAGGTTAACCAGCTGCAACGGGAGATTAACAGGAATTTCAGCAATCTTGCGGTAGCTTACTTCCCCCCTTCCCTGCAGTCTCCAAATCCTTCATTAACTTCTTACACTAAGAGAAGAAGAGTGCAAAAGTTAAATGAGCTCTGACAAGTTTTCAAAAGGGTTTTTAAGCATCCTCCACTCCTTTTGCTATTAATTAGCAACGAAGAACCACCACCGGGAGAGGCTTCGGTACAGACTGAACAGCTCTCACTGCTGCCCGTGCACGCTTCAGCTCAGCTCAAATGCTCTCAGAGGGCCCCAAAAGAGGCACCAGAGAAACCCAGTTCTTGCAGCACTTCCCACAGCTCACGCTGCAATCTTTCAAGGGCACCGTGTTTAACTTCGCAGCACTGCACTAACTCACTCCAGTGGCTGGAAAACAGCTTACTCCATTTTGCAGATGGTTTATTTTTCTGAACAGGTTTTTGCCTCTCAGCATTGCAGTTTAAAATGTAACTGATACTCTCTGACCAACCACTGTGAGCTGCAGAGTGTTCCTGTAATGAGACCCTCCTTGCTCCAGCACCAGGCACAGCAGAAGCCCCCCTGGCCCTCATTCCCACAGAGGCTTGTGGAATACCTGGAAGGATGCTGTGCCTTCATCTCTCTCTATGTTTAGAAACCAGAGCAGCAGTACAGTCTGTGCAAGGTCATGGAACAAGAAAGTTTGCAGGAGCACTTGGTCTCAACTCTGGTGCCACATGCCAGCCCTCTCCATCTGCCAGGGAGCATGGCAAGCACCTGGCTTATCCAAATCAATAGAAATCAGACCTGGGGATGCAATGCAAGACACACAGCTTCCATCTAACAGAAAAGAGCAGCCCTTGGAGACTGGGTAAAGCAAAAAAAAAATCCCAAGATTTTTTTTTTTCCCAAGAAGTAGGAAAATGGGCCCCACGAGACTCTTCTTGCACTTTATTCTTATCCACTGCTTCAGTCTCAGGCCTTCCTGAAAATGAGGCATTGTCCCAAGGCATATTATGAAATTCCCAGACCACGTCACACAAGGAGAACACAGCATTTGCGAGGGGGACGGGTGGGAGAGAAATCCCAGACTATTCCAGGAAATACAAGGAGACATCCCTGAAATGACTTCCCCTCCAGCCAGGAGGGGAAGGGAGGACCTCCCACCTCGCTCCCTGTACCCAGCCAAAACTAGGTCAGTGACACAGCCCTGCTTGCAGGGAGAGCTCCTCTCCAGACACCAGGACACATGGAAGAGTCCAGCCAGGAGGGTGAAGGGGGTAACCTTGCCCCTTCCCATAGCCTGACACGTTTCCTGTAAGAGAGCCCAGCTGGCTCCCCAGCCCTGTCAAAGAGGCAGGCAGTTCCTCCTCTGCTTCCTCCTAAGCAGCACAACCCTGCCAGCTGGCTTGAAAGAGAAAACCCACTTTGGCCTTTCCCTGGCCCTTTATCAGACAAAACAAAGGGGAAAAAAAAAGACCCCCACACCTTGCTTTCAAAGGCTTTCTCTGCTTCTTTCCCAGTTTCTAAGGCTGGAAACTGCTACACCTGACCGGCAGCCCTTACACACCTTCAGAAGAGACACGAGATGCCCAGCCTGGCTGCAAAACCCAAGGTCTTGAGCTACAGCACCCTCAAGACCACTGTCCCCCAAGTCAAGGGGGGATGGGGTGGGGGTGCCACATCCACTGCCTCATATCCTAGAGCCAAAACACCTCCCTTCCAGAAAGCCTCCTCCCTTCACAACCCCTTCCTCCCTTGACCTTGACACAGATGCCAGCTTCAGCATGCACCCACCCGTCTGTGCCGGGGAGGGGATGGGGATGAGGGTCCAAGAGGGGGTCAGCTCGCCCTTCCCGGCCGAACCGCGCCCACCGCCGCCCCCGAGCACCCACGGAGGGAGGGGAAGCCGGGGGAAGGCTCCGGGGAGCTGGCACTCACCGCTGTGCGAGCTGAACCACCGCGGTGCGATGTGAAGGGGCAGCGCGTCGGCCAGCGAGGCCCTGGCGCCCAGGTACAGCATCCCGTCTCTATGGTGACCGCCTCCCGTCTCCTGGAAACCGTTGCCATGGGCGTACGTGGAGTCGGAGCCCGGACCGCCGCCGCCGCCGCCCGGGGCCCGCTCGGCCTCCCCCGCCGCCCGTGCCGCCGCCGCGTACAGCCCGAAGGGGACGGCGCCGGCCGCCGCCGGGTCCATGCCCATCCCGGCCACCGAGCTGACGGAGCGGCTGCGCAGCCCCATCGCGCCGCCGCCGCCGCCCGCCCGGTAATGGCCGAAGGGGGGCGGCCCCCCCCCCTCCTCCCGGCGGCGGCACGGCGCTGTCATCCGTCGACACCCCCGGGAAGGGGCCCCGCGAACGGGTCGCCGTGCTCTGCTTGCCCCCCATGTGGGCACCGCCGGGCCGGAGGGAGCCGAGCGACAGCCCCCCGCGGGGAACGGGGCCGCGCCGCCCCCGCTGGGAGGCGAGAGGGGGCGGAAGGAAGCGGGGGGGCGCGGGGAGCTACGGGCGAAAACCCATCCCCGCCTCAGGCATCCTCCCCCCGCCGGGCCCGCAGGGGCGAGGGCGCCCCGAGTCCGCCGCCGCCACCGCCGTCACCCCCGGCGGAGGCCGCCGAGGGCTCCGGGGCCGCGGAGCGGGGAGGGAGCGGCGGGGGAGGGGGGGGGTGGACGCCGGCAGGGTCGCTCCGCCCGCCTCGCTGGTGCCCGGGGCGCGGCCGGGAGCCGGGCGCGGATCAGCTGCGGCCCATGGGCGGCGGGGGCGGTGGGGGCGGCGCGCCCCGCTCCGCTGCGCTGCGCCGGGCACGGCCTCGCTGCGGCCGCCGCCTGGTGCTGGGCGCCGCGCCGGAGACAATAGCGGCCGGCAGCACGCATGCTCCCGCCCCCGGCCCCCCCGGCCCGCCGCCCTTAACCCCTGCACCGCCGCCGCCCAGCGCTGCGCTTGCCGGCGCCCCGGGACGCGGAGCCGCTACCGCACCGACGAGCGGGCGCTGCCCCGCGGAACACAACTCTGGACCCACGCCACGCACACATCTTGCTCTGTAGCGGGGCTGCGACCACCCTCCGGCCTCTGCGGCCAGAGCCGCTCCGGAGAGGCCGGGCCCGCACGGGGACCCTCCCTCGGGCCGTGGGACCCCCACCGGCTCCACGGGACTCGCTGCCCCCGTTCACCGGGCCGGGGGCGGGTGGGGGGTGGGGAACGGCAGGACTACATCTCCCAGCAGTCCCCGCACGGCGCTCCATAGTGTGCAGGCGCGGCGCAGGCTCCGCCGAGGCGGCCCAAGATGGCGGCGCGCTGGAGCAGCGAGAATGTGGTGGTGGAGTTCCGAGACGCCCAGGTCGGGGGGCCCGGGGGCTGCCGCATCACCGCGCCGCGGGGGCAGCCCCCGGCCGGCCCGTGACGAGCGGAGCGGGGGGAGGTCCCGGCCCGGGAGGGCTCGGCGGCCCCGCGGGGCCTTTCGGCGGCGATGGCCGGGGCTGAGGCGGTCTGGAGTCCTTTGCGCGGAGATAACGCCTTAATTCACGGGGCACTTAATTTCGAATCTTAATTAGGTCTTGTATTTTTTTAATGCATTTTCAGGCCTAACATACGGTATTGCCACTTCCCACACGTCTTTCCTCATTTCCTTTTGCTGGAGGAGCTCAAGGCCAGCGTGGATGGGGCCCTGAGCAGTCTGGTCTAGTGAAAGATGCCTGCGCATGGCCGGGGGCTGGAATGAGAGGGGCTTTAAGGTCTCTTCCAACCCGAGCCATTCTATGGCTCTGTCACTTTTCACGGAGACTGTTACAGCTACTGTCTCACTGCCAAATAAATTGCTGGGTGTTGCTTGATTAAAATAAAAAGCGGCTTATATATATTTTTTTTTTTGTGAATAGCAAAATGATCAGCTTTTGTTTGTGAAGCTGATGGTGGTAGCAGAGCTCGGCTCAGAGTTTGTTTGCTCACATGGTGTTGTAGAAGTTGTTGTTATATCCTTGGAAGTGTTCATGGCTAGGCTGGACAGGGCTTCAAGCAACCTAGTGAAGGTGTCCCTGCCCATGACAGGGGTTTGGAACAAAATTATCTTCAGGTTCCTTCCAACCCAAGCCATTCTAGGATTCTATGATTCTTTTCTAAGAAATGTGGGGGTTTAAGGTCTTGGTAATTGCTTAACAAAGCTAGATACAGTGGGTGAACTATGAGATACTTCAGCGAGAAACCCAGAAAAATTAAAAAAAAAAAAGTTCTGGAAGCTCTCTTGTCTCATTTATCCTCTTGGGCTGGAGCAGTAAGGGCTCTGCCTTCACCATTGCAAACAGAAGCACTGAATCCTGCGTGCTGCATCCAGCTCACCCTCTGTAAGCTCACAAAGCTTTTCACTTTTGTACCTCAAAAGCTCTGTATTAGTTTTCCTCCCAGAAATGTTAAAGCAGCCTCATCTGCTGCTGAGGATTTGCCCTTAGGAAGTCAGTAATGAGATCTGAGGGTGCATTTTCCTACATCACAGATTCATGTTGCATCTGGCTCAGGAGAGAGGAGGCCTCATGACTTTATTTGCTTACTCATAATGTCTGGTGTGTGGGAGCAGAAGGGACAGGTGTTGCCACCCCATGCTGCAGCAGTTGGTTTCAGTGTCACTCCTGCACTGGCACAAACCTTGGCAGAGGGTGAGCATGGGGGTTTCAGTCACTTGGCTTTACTCTGGTGTGATCTTCCTGGAGCTGTTCTGACCTGCCTGCTGTCCCACATGAAACCAGAGAACTGCTCTGGCTGGGGCTGCCAGACTGCTGCTTCAGGCTAAACTCATTTATATATTTGTGTCTGAGCTTTTTTTTAGGAGTCTCCTGGAACATTTTTGCAGGTGGGAAACCTGAGCTTGAGAAATTGGAGCACCTTGGCTGAAATCATCCAGCACCAGTCTTGAGCTCTGCGTGTAGGCCATACTATCTCCAAAATCCCTACCCTAAAAACAAACTAAATGGAAACAAGAATCAAAAGAGTGGGCAGCTGTTACATTTATAGCCAATACACCTCTGCAAGCACTGCAGTTGTCTTTGTTCACCATGCTGGAGTGTGTCATGAGAAAGCTACAGCACCCCAACTGTAACACATCAGAAAATCGCTGTGTGTTTTGGGACCTGTGTTACCTACAAGTGTCATTTTTCTGTGCAAGCTGACAGAGGTGGCAGTCTGTGTACTCTTCTGATTTAAACAGGAGCCACAGGCTCTTCTTGGGCTGCTGACACTATCAAAAGGAGAGCAAAACTCACCTAGTGCTGAAATGGAACCATTTGTAGCAACTCAGTGTGTAGATGGGAGGTTATGCATGCAGGGAACTGGTATTGCTTGTTAAGGGTTTGCAGCTCTTGAAAAACAGCATAGCCATGGCAAATTGGGTTGGTGTGTTGCCTCTCAGGTGGAGAGAATGAAGGTAATTGGGAAACTAATGAAAGGTCAGACATAAAAGGGAGTTTTCCTTGGCTTGCCTAGCAGAAATCAAGTGAAATGCCAAAGTAGATGCTTGAAGTCTGAGAAGGTGCTGCCTGGGCTGTGGGTTCCAAGCAAATTCTCAAACGTGCAGTGCTCCTACTGTGCTTACTCGTGTTGCTGTTTTTCATGAACGTCAGTTCCAGCTATCCACAGTGTTGTTTTGAGATAAAAACTGCTTTCAGGTTGGTTCAGTTTCAACTCCTCCCTTCTGGAAGGTTGTGCTGTGAAGACTGATATATCACTATTAAGTGACAACAGTTTGTTTTTTATTTTCCTTTGCCTAGCTAAGGCTCTTGTATCATAGGGAACTGTTTGTTGCTGTAAAACAACTTAATTTGTGACCCATCAGAGTAGCAGCCTGACATGTGAAACTTTTTACATCATTCTGATTGTTCATTTCATTCTATGATGCTTGGTGCCTGGAAAAAAACAGTTTACCAGTGTTCATTATTGAAAACAATTTGTAAGGACTTAGGAGATCCTGGTGCCAACACTAGGAAAAATAAACTTGTATATGAAATTACAATCATTTGAAATTGACATTGTTTTTTTCTGTCTTGGGGAAAGATGGCTCCAACTGTATGAAATATGTCTCCTGACTAGCTCTTCATCACATGAGAAAGCTCTGATTACTGTAGTGGCTTTAGTGATCCTCATTTTAATTTCTCAGAAGAATAATGTGTACCATCTGGGAAAAGTTCTTTCTCCTGATGATTTGTTTTGTTTGTTTGTTGTTTTTTTATATAGATTCAGTAATCTACTTTTTTGAAGGTTTTGATCTGTGTTTTGCAAGGTGCTGTGGAGTCTAGAAAGCTGGAATTGTTTCCTTATCATTTAGAGATCTTAGAATTAGCTGTTTATTTACAGCATTAGCTTTAAGACTAGGGATACCTTACCAGAAGATTGGATTTGCTGCCTAGGAAAAAGTAATGAAAGGGGGTTGTTCCTGGAACAGGTAAAGTGGTGGAATGGGGTTTGGTTTACCATGAGCTCCTGCTGAAACTCTGCAGGCAGCTGTAGCTGTTTGCCATGTGGTCTCTAGAGAAGAATGGGTCCCTGATGCTGCTTTTCCCTCACTTGGGGTTTTTGTAAGGAGGGGATGGGCCCTGGCTGAAACAGCTCAGAATTTGTGATTAGTATTCTGCTGTCAGATCTGACTGAAATGGAGTGGGATTTCTGTATTGTCTGTCAGGTTTTAGTGATGCTTGTAAGTAGTAACTGTGGGACATCCTGAAGTCTTGTTACATCCATGCTGAGAGCACTTAAAGTCCTGAACAGCAGCAGGAGATACATCCTGAGCCCTCAGAGAGGCAGCTTTGAAGATGACAGCAGTTAGTGTGAAGAATGTGGGGCATATTCTGATTTTTGTGCTGTGAATGCTCAAAACTCTTTTGAAGTCATATCTTTGTTTATGGGTGGAACTGTTCAGCTTTCCAAGTAAAATTTTCCTTTATTCTCTTGGCATTTAAACAAGATGATCAGCCAGTTCATTCTGCACAGAAAGAGGGGGAGACAATATGCAAACAGTCCTTTTTTTATATATTTTTTTCTAATGGCCTTTAAGTTATCTCGTAGCCTTCTTTACAAGCAATGCCAAGTAAATTCTGATGCCTCTTGGCCATCTCTCATTTTTGAACACCAGCCATACACAAATGATTGCACTTCTATCTCCCAGTACATATATAATTAAATCTGGCTCTGCAATGAAAGAGAGAGACTCAGAAAGTTCCTGAGCAGGAGCAGAGACTGATTAATACAGATTATTAGAGATTGCTGATTGAAAGGCTGCAGCTGTGATTGCCATAGCAGGAAGAAGGGAGCAAGGTCTCAGTGCTCATGATGTTGTCTGCCAGGTTTTGTTTTCAGTTTATGCCAACGAAGATGTTCCTGTGTGCTGTCCTGTATCCCAAAATCAACCACTACACCCATTGCCTCTCTGTGCTACTTTAAGGGGATGTTACTTTCCTGAGCTCCTCCCTAAAGCCCTATGTTTGACTGAGCAGCTGACCTGACAGGTATCATTTAATTTTGTTCTGTGTTTCTTTAACAGGCGACGGCGATGTCAGTGGATTGCCTGGGACAGCGTGCAGTTCTCTCGGGGTGAGTGTGACAGTTCCCCTTAGAGGTGTGACAGTCATTTCCACAAGCCAGACCAGCCACCTTCAGGCTGACCTGTGCTAGAGGGTTGATGGATTGTTTCAGAAAGGTGCAGCTGATTTCTGTTCAAGGCTTAATGAAACTGATTCAGGGTCATGTTCCCGATGGGATACAGATTGGAGAGACAGCAACAAGAGCACAGTAAAATGCTGGTGTGGCTTTCCTGGTAAATTCCTTTCCAAATCCCCATATGGGAGAGGGAGCATCATGAAGTACTGTTTGGATTGTCTTGAAATACGGATTAGATTATTTCCTAACAAAATTTGCCTCAAATATTGCCATGGGGCTCTCTGACCTGCTTCTCTGCTGGTTCAGCGTGGGATGATACAAACACAGTAGGTGCCACAGACTTCCAAGTTGCCCAAGCTTCCGGGAGAGCTTGGTCTTATGTATCCACCTCCAGGCCAAGTCTTGAACCAGCTCAGCAGTGCCTTTCCATCTCCTGCTTTTCAGTACTAACAGCTATTCCTGTCCCCCTGTCAGTGACACAATTGCCACACCAATTAGGATGTTCATTTCAGAATCATGTGAGTATAGCTGATCTTTGGTCAGCCTTCAAGGAGCCAAGTCCTTTGATACAGCTCGAAGCAGTGCTTGCTTCCATGTAAACCCTTAGTCTGGCAGTGCTGTACAGGAATAGCAGGAGGAATGGCCAGTGCTCAGAGCAGCTGTGTGGTCACTTTGCAGCTGAGAGATGATGCTCATGTGGGTAATTATGTAGGGTTCATTATGTTTTGATGCTGGTCCTCCATAGGGTTCAGTGGCTCACAATTATTTCTGGGCAGTTTCTCTTGCTTGTAAGCAGGATGATACCTTGCTTTGTGGAGAATTGGCCACATCCAGCAGGATGTATGAGCTCAGGTTTGCTATCATGCAGAATTATTTCTGCCGCATATAGAGTTAGCTCAGGTAAGTAATGGAACCAAATCTGTGCAGGACTGTGTCCACCCACGTTAAAAAGCTGCTGCAGCTGAGCATGAGCTCTGTGCAGGTGTTTTTGTACTGTTGGTGGAACCAAGCCTCAGACCGGTGTGGAAAGAAGCACCCACGTAGAATCATCTTTGTCAAGGCTCATTAACTCTTGCTCAGAGCAACCTATCCGGGCTGAAGCTGTTGCATTGCACTCCTGGGACTGTGCCACTTAGGCTCTGCTGCAGCAGTGTTAGGCCTGCAAAGCCTGTTTGAATATTTGCACCATTTTCCAGCACTTCTTTATATCCAAGTTATCTGGGTTTTTCTGTGGTGTAAGCTATCTATTACATCTGCAGATCCTGTTTACTTTCAGTGTGGTTTTTTTAAGTCAGTTTTGAAGTATGTAGTCAAATGTCGCATTTTCAGGAATAGTGTTTTCACTTGTCTCATGAAATGCTTCTCTTTTGGTTCTTGTGCCTCTAGACACAAGGCTGTGAGCTCCATGTGAGCCTGGGGTTTTGAGATCAGCCCTGTGAGGTGTCTGTGTGTCTTGCAGCCGCCGTTTCCTCTACATTGTCAATCTGGATGCACCCAACGAGGGTCACCGGAAAATCTCCCGGCAGAGCAAGTGGGACATCGGCGCGGTGCAGTGGAACCCCCACGACAGCTACGCCTACTACTTTGCAGCTTCTGTAAGTTCACCCGTTTAAAAGCTGTAACTCATCTTCTTCCCTGGTCTTTCATGGGTGAGCCTCTGCAGAGCTGGAAGGCTGTGTGGAGCTGGCACAGACATGTTTCTGCAAGTCACATTGCAAGATCAAGGCCTAATTCTGATTTACTGCCAGGGAGGTGTTCAGCTGACTGGCTCTCAGTTATTGGGCAGTCAGGGTTGCATCTGGTTTTGCTTGCTTGTCATTTACAAAACAGTTTGCCAAATAAATCAAGCATCCAAATGGTTCTTTTCTGGAGGGAAATTATATTTTTTTCTGATTTCCAGTCTGAGATTTGTGCACTTCTTGAATTTCTTGCTCTGTGCTGTTTTGTTTTCACCTCCCTGCCTTGCTGCTCGGCTGTGGTGCACCAGGCAGTCTGTAAATAGCACAGGTCAATACTGGCTTGTAACTTGGGGTTTGCAGCTGGGCATGGACTGTGTCAGTGAGGGTGAGGAGTTCCATGAGGCAGTGGGTTGGGCTGAAGAAGCAGTAATGGCTGTGTGAGACCAAGTGCAATCTTCAGCTCTGTTCTGTACTTGGTCTGTCGTGCTCTGCAGCTTGTTCACCAGGGCCCTGAGCTCTGCTGATGGAAATCTCAGCCATCACCCACAGCACTGTGGCCATTGGCCCCAGCCAGGTGCAGACTGTTTCCAGGGTGAGCTGCCTTTTCTGCTGTGTTGTCTGCTTTTATAACCTGAGAGTCCTGGACTAGCTAGGGATGGAGAAATCTCTCTGTCTATTCTTTTGAGAAAACACTTAGTTCAAGGTGATTTCTTAGGATTTTTGTTCCTGGATTTGCTACCTTTTTAATAAAAGGCAGTTTTAAAAGTGGAGTGGTGCTGTCAGCTGGGAGCCTCTGGCTGTTTGCTCTCTGACATTCCCCAGCCTCTCTCTTTGCAACTCTGACACATGACTGATGTCTTAAAGGTGCCTTCAGCAGCAGTCCTCTTCTGAGCAGAGAGTTAGTGAAAGAGTTAGTTCAGTGCCACTTCTGGGTGCAGTCTGTGGAAACCAAAACCAAGTAAGGAAATGCACTGGGCAGGTCACAAGTGGAGTAGGAAAGCTTCTTTTCAAACACACTCTGAAGACAATATCCAGTGATGAGTTCATGCTGACCTGAGCAGGACCCTGCAAAGGAGAGCTGTGCCCATCTCACCCATCTGAGCACTCCTGCCTCTTTCTGCTCTGAGTGGATACAGGAACCCATCTTGTTCCAGACTGAAACCAGGTGTAGCTGGCATCAAACCTTGCTGGTTCTGTTTATAAAAAAGATGCTGTGATGCTCTGGGGATTTGAACATAGTTGCTGAGACACTGGTTGAGAAATCCCCAAGATGAGATCAGGCAGCTTTTTCAGTTTGGGTCAAAAATACCACCTTTCAAGCCATTTCACTGTGTTGTAAATAACCCAAGGGTCTTATGCTTCTGCATCCCTGTGGATGGAAAAGGGATGTAAAAGGCTGCCATCCTGTTTGCCAGCAGCATCATCTGGTTTGCAGTCCTGTTAATTGGAAGTGGTACAGGCAGAGGGAATCTGTCCTTGTGTTTAGCTTCTTTCCAGAAGAGCTGGACCAAGTTCTTTTGCTGTGCTTGTCTGTCCTCTGGCTCAAGCATGTTTCTGGGGACTCCTAAACTGTTGTTTCAGAAATGGTGTTGTTTTCAATCCTAGATCCTTGTTTTTCCTTTTGTGTGGCCACAGATTCTTGAACAAGGGGGTGATGAAATTGTTGGAAGTGAATACTGATACAAAAATCACAGTTTTTTAGAAAATGCTCCTGTTGGGAGGAGCAGTCTCTCTGGTGATCATTATCTTGTGTCTTGTCTCTGGAGTCCTGGCTAAATCCCATTGGGTAATTTCACTCTACTCTTTAAATACTTCTGTCAATGAGAAACATGCAAAGAGTTTTTTCTTGCCCTAAGCTCTTGTGCAGCCCTGCTGTGAGCAGTTAGAGAAATGTCATATATTATTGCTGAGCTGGAATGAGGCCTTTCATTTCAAAGAAAGCTGTAATGTTTTATCTATCTGCAAGTTGAAATTCACATGAAGCAGCTTTGGGGTAGGAAGAAAATCCACCACCACAAAAATTGTAACATAACAGTTGGACTCAGAGATTTTAGAGGTCTTTTCCAACCTCAGCAACTGTGTGTTTCTTTGAAGTCTCTTATCTTTTCCCTCATCTACCTAAAAGTCTGAAAACAGGGGGCTAATGAAAATAACATTTTAAGGTCATATTCTTTCAGGTTTTGCAAAATCTGCATGAATTTCCAGTCATGAGCCACTGGGCTTGGCACTCTGTATGCACCCACAAAGGCAATTCCAGCCCCAGAAAGATTAGACTTGGCTTGACCTGAAGTGAACCTTGATTGAGACAGAACATGAATTTACAGCACAATAATTAGTTTTAAGTAACTTTGCATGTGGCTGCATTTGGGTAAGGATTCATTCCTGGAATGAGTGAAGGAACTCTGAGTATTGTTGTCATTGATACATCTGGTTTGCTGTTGTTTTTTACAGCTAGTGATAAACACTTAAAGCTTTTCTCCTGGGCTGGATTGGGGGAGTACCCTTGAGGAGGTGTCCTTGAAGCCATTGGACTGTATTGTTTGTGTTTGGCAATGGCCCTGATTATCCCAGAAGGGAACTGAGAGAGAGCTGAGGACGACCAGGGGTAATCCATTATCCCCCTCACCAAAACCTCCACTGGTGAATGTAACAGACTGGCAGGGTATTCCTGCAGAGAGAATTTGTCTGCCTGTTGCCTGCAGTTACAGCATGTTGTTAGGAAATAAAGACTCTGAGAACATAATTTCATGGAAAGATTTTGCAATGTGGGATTTTTTTTCTCCCTTTCTAGTTTATCTCAAGTTTTAAGTGGGTGTAATTAAAGTGTAAGCTTTTGAAAGTCCTTGCAGCCTGTATTTCATCTTTGCTCTCCTGCTTTGGGCAAGGACTTTGCTAATTCACAGAATGACTCATTGTTAACTGAGGTTCTTCAAAGTGAAGGGAACCTGGTCCTAACACCCAGATCCATGTCCTACCTGGTTGGCCTGAGACTGTCTCTCCTTTCTTCCATCTAATTGCAGAGCAATCAGCGTGTTGACCTGTATAAGTGGAAGGAAGGAAATGGGGAAGTTTGCACATCTCTGCAAGGACACACACGTGTGATCAGGTGAAGAACAAGCAATGCTGTGGGCTGTTGAGTGGAAAATAATGCATTGTTTCATAGAAGCTGAATGTTTTGGTCCTGGCCTCACTCAGGCTCTGCTCTGAGCCTGTTTTTACTCACTTCTCTGGACTGGACTGCCTTCTCATTTGGTGATGATGTCATGTGTGAAGTGGCTCATCCTCTCATGGCTCCCCCAGTTTATCAACTTAGCCCTTGATGGCTCGAATGTCATTGCCTTAGGCTGCTGTCCTTGTAAAGAGCAGCAGCCATCATCTGGGAAGCAGATAGCATGTTTACTAAATTGAATCCCAGCTGTGTTTCTGTGTGATAGCAGCTTGATTAAGGCAGGTAATCCCAAAGACCAAGTTTAGAGAATGTTACAGTGGTGCAGGGGAGATTTTTGCCTCTTGTTTTAAGGTCACATTTCAATGCTGGGTTGGAAGTGCAGTTGAGGGACTGCTTTTTCTCAAGCTCCTGACTGTGGGAAGTATTTGCAGCCCTTGAAATAACAGTTGTTTGGGCTGACTGGAGGCTGTTTGTGTCCCAGGTGCACTTGGTGTTCCAACAGGGAGGCATCCCAGAGTGAGGGGTTGATGCCAAGGATGTGTGGTTACTGAGAGCTCTTTGAGACAGTGTCCCTTTGCCTGGAGGGGAAAGAGCACACACACAGTAGCTGTAAAGTTCAGGACTGGGAGGATGCTTCACTGGAATTTACTTAGAAGCAATTTCATTGCTTCTTGGAATTTACTTAGAGAAATTATTAAGATCTTGCTTTTTACTTTAAAAGTTTCAGTAGATGTCATGGAGTTGCTGTGAATTTGTTGGAGAATGTACTGGCAGCTTGTGAAAAGTTGATGCAACATCTGTGTGCTTTTCTTTACTGATCTATGATTTTGCATTTGCAGTGACCTGGACTGGGCAGTGTTTGAGCCAGACCTACTGGTCACCAGTTCTGTAGACACATACATCTACATCTGGGACATCAAGTAAGAATCAGTATGTTTCTGCATTTTGGGGAAATCACTGGGACTCTTTTCTGTAATTATCAGCTTGCAGGGCAAAGCACACCCTGATGGGAGCTGCTCTTTAGCTGTGCTTCTGGGGGCTTCAGCTGTTTCCCATTGTCTCCAAGATGACTTCTGTTCCCCTCTTTTCAAGCCAGTTCAGAGTCAGTGATGGGCAGTAGAGTGGTACAGTTAAGCTACAACTGTCTGGCTTCACTCTGTGCCCACTTCAGATATTTCCCTGGGGGCTTTTCCTGGACCCAAGGTTATTCCTCAACCTGTTGGGGATTTTGTAGCTCAGTTAATGAGCACCATTTCATGGTCCTATAGCCATTTTCTACTAAATTCTTTGATTGTTGCTGGTTCTCCCTCAGTAATGGGAAGACTGACAATGGTATTCAGGAAGGTTTTCCCATTTGTACCTTCCTTTGTTTCCTGGTGTTGCTTTCTGCTATGAGTATTTTCAGGGTAGCAGATATTTCCAACTATAGGTCAAATTTAAGCCGCAGATTTTACACCTGAGAAGCAAGGAGCTGGTACTGGGTCTGCTGGGTTCTCTTGCTAGCTGTACAGCTCTTTATGACCCCCAGCAAATCACATTGTTCCTCTCTGCCTCCCTTGCTCAGTTATAATAGGAGGATAATTATATAACCCCACTGCACCAGGCTACCCGGAGGCTTGCTTAGTTCCTATGAACAAGCACTTAGCTCCTTGCTTAAATGGTGCTTGAGAATGACAATATATTATTAATGTGTAATTAAAAGACACAGAGATACAATAACTGCCGGTTGTTTTCCTGTGATACTATCTTAATGCCAAGAAGAAAAAATAGAGATGTCTGAAGGATATTATCAGAACTCCTCCTTTAACTCTATTGTGCCCTTCCATTGTTTTGTGTCTGCCTGTGTCACTTGCCCAGAACTGCTTCCTTAGGCAGTCTCTGAAAGCCCCTACATCCCACTTGTGCTGGGAAAGGCTCTGAGCTTGTTATAGCACTGAGGTGCTGGCCTCCAGCAAATTTACATCCTGTTGAAGTGACTGTCTCTAATGACACCCTAAGGAGGCAGCCCTGCAATAAGGGCAGCTGGAAATTCTCCACTTAATTTTTCATACAAAATAACTTTTTGATTAGGCAGAAATTCTTAGAGGGAAGGGTGCAGTCCATTCCAGAAAATGTTTTGCTTTCAGCAAGCAGAAAAAGCTGAAGATAATATTCCTTATTTTCACTGTCACTTTTCATGAAAGAGCAGGTGAAATCCTGAGGAGCAAGGCCAGGAAGTAAATTATTGCTTTGATCTATGCCCTGGCTGCTTGGAGTTGTCATGGTGCCACGCTGGTTTCTGCCGCTGCAAAATTTGGTTTGTAGACAGACAGAATTTGGTCTGCACACAGCTGGGCTGATTTTCTACTAATTTTGTTATTATATACTAGACATGAAGTTTTTTGCTCTGTAGTAACTACTCCATCTGCTTTGAATCAGAATCTGCAAAGGCTCCACGAACACGTCAGTGGCTTTTGTTGAGTGCTTCCACAGCTCTGTTTGTTCCTTTAATCCTCCTTGGAAAGGCTGTTTTGTTGCTTCCCACAGCAACTATTCATGAGCCCTGTTTCCTTGCCTACCCAGTTGCAATATGCCACACTTTGTGTATGTTTCTCCTCCCTTTAGTCCAGTCTAGCTCTGTCCTAAACTTCCTGCTGCATGTTCTTGCAAGACAAGATCATAGAATGGTTTGGGTTGGAATGGACCTTAAAAATCTAGTTCCATCCCTCTGCCAAGTGCAGGTACATCTTCCCATAGACCAGGTTGTTCCAAGACCCATCCAGGACTTGAACACTTCCAGGGTGGTTGTTGTCCTCCAGCTGATCACTTTTATTCCATTTAATGCTGGTGTATTTTGGTAAGCAGAAGGTACATGAGGTCCCAAGGCAGCAATTACCTTAGTGCTGGAATAGCAGGGAGCTCTCTGGGAAGGCTGGACTATGCTGTGTGTACTTACAGTGGCCACATTGTATTTCAGAGACACCAGGAAGCCCACGGTCTCACTCTCTGCAGTTGGTAAGTCTGATGTGTGTGATGTAGGCATTAAACAAGGTTATTGTTGCATGCCCCTGCTGTTATTCTTCCTTCCCTTCATGCTCCATGGCCAGGTGTGGCAAAGTGCAGGAGTGCCACCATGTGTGATTGCCCCGTGTAGGAGCAGCCTGAGAGGCTCCAGTTCACTCCTTTGAGAGAAGCAGAATTCAGAAGAGATATGGAGCCCCTTGAGGTTCCCAGGCATGGAGGGCAGTTATGGTACTTGGATTTGCTGCCCCAGCATTGGTGAATGGCCATGTGGAGTTCCCTCCCTGCTTAACCACCTTGCTGCACTGCTTGTCCTGGATTGCCTGTCTGTAATTTCCTTACATCCTTTTATGTTTGATTGAATCAGATGAGGAACTAAACCATACCCCAAGCAGCTCTCTGTGCCAGCCTGTCCCCTCATTCACTCAGGGTTGGATACAGCAGTTGGCTGCATCCACTTCCCTGAGGCACCTGCAACATGCAGGGAGCACACAAGGTGCTGTCTTTGGGCTGTGCTTTCTCTGGAAAGGCTCTTGTCCTGCCTGCTGGCAAGGTGTGTGTCCAGCCCCTGCAATACCACCAGCTGGCAGGTGCTGTGTGTCTGTCCTCACTGGCTGGAGCTGGGACTGGGCACGGGTGATGAGCAAAACGTCCTTTCCCTGAGTTACTGTCCCCAGTATTGGAGCAATCCTTACAATGTGTGACTCTCATGCTCTGCTGCTTACATCTCCTTAGGCTATGCATCTGCAGCAGCTCCCATTCCCCTCCCAGCCAGCAAACCTCTCTGTCACAGAAATGCAAAAAGCCTTACTGAGTCAGAGAGAAGCAGTGGTTGGTGCTGGTGTCTGGGGTGAGGTTTCATGGCTGAGCCAGCCCAGCAGCCTGCTCCCCAGAAAGCTTCCTTGCTTCCTTCCTTCCTCCTGTGCCTGCTGCTGTTTAATGCTGGTCCAGACATTTGTGTACCCTTCAGTGAGTGGATCAAATCAATCAACTGGCAGTCTATTTGCAGCTTTTTATCCCCCAGAATAGCTTTTTGCCAGGTTGTCAGGATGAATCTGCTCACCATGCAGCAGGAGGTGGGTAGTGGAGGTGGGGAATAGCAGCAGGCTGAGATCTGTTTAGCTTTCTCATGGATCTCACCTTTCTGATAGCTCAGAAGGTTTGAAAATACTGGCAGAATAAGGATGAACAGATGCATTATGCTTACAATACCTGAACAATCCACATTAACTGAAGCTGTGCTTTGTTTCTATTGGAAATAACCACCTATCATCTGATTTAACTGAGTCCCTCATGATACCACATATAAGTCATATCTGGACCATCATCCAGTTTCTTTACACTGTCATTGGTTCTTTCACTTCTGTGGTATATTTTGACAGATGGACTTTCTGGTCCACCCAGTGAATCCACCCAAGGTCACCTGCACTGCAGCCTTCTCCTACACCTGTATTTTAATCACAGATCAATAGCACTAGTTGCCTGTGTAACAGCTGATAGTATGGGGGGTGGTGGGGAGATGAAACAGACCCTAAGCACCTAGAAGTAACTTGAATAAAAAGAGAGGGAATGTGGGAAGGAGATGATGAACCTACGTTTCTGGTCTGGAAGTTCCTCCATTGGAGCTAATGGACATGAGTATTCTAATCAGGTACAGCTCCTGGCTAGAAGATGTGATAAAGATCTCTAGGCATGCAACTGGAACACTTTGCTGTCCCGAGGATACAAATGATACACTGAGGAACCAGGAGTTAATAATTTTCATGCCATCCTTCATGCTGGCCTTCTGGGATATCCTTCCTCTGAACTGCCTTTCCTGGGCTAAGAGCAGCTCTAGACCCAGGCAATGGGACTACTGTTCTCTTTTCTATTTAATTGCATATTTTGGCTTGCTCTGTTTGTGCTGCAGCTGGAGCTTCCCAGGTGAAATGGAACAAGAAAAATGCCAACTGTTTAGCAACAAGCCATGATGGAGATGTCCGAATATGGGACAAAAGGGTAAGCTGAGGAATTTTTGAACAGTCTGTACATTTTCTCACCTACCCAATACAGATATTCCTCTGGTGACAGATGAATACTGAGGAAATGTACTACTTTATCCCAGAGCTCTCTTGTGGGTCAGTTTAAACTAGAGAGAATTGGAAGTCCAAGAGCCTGAAAGAGAGTATGTAGGTAACCTCCTTCCTCAGAGACTGTACCCATTACCATTTTCCTTTTGATCTCATAGTACTTAACTGTTGAACTGAGTATAAAGTATGGTTAGAGCTGCACTTGGTGACTGGAATTTGCCATACCTTCACAGGATTTTTTCTTCAGCTACTTACGCTGAGCTATTTGCTGTTCCCCAGCAGGGGTGGTTGTTCTAACTGTCTTGCCCTGGTTAAAGTCTCTTTTTATGCCAAAGAACTAGTCCAATTTTCAGATGTCCTATGCTGAGAAGGACAGTGTCTCTCCTTGCAGAAACCCAGCACTGCAGTGGAGTATTTGGCAGCTCATCTCTCTAAAATCCACGGTCTGGACTGGCATCCTGACAATGAGTATACACTGGCCACTTCCAGCCAGGACAACTCTGTCAGGGTAAGTGTTGTTTTTGAATTCCTGCTGGGGAGTAGGAAGGATCGTGGAGCAGATCCCCTTCTGCTGCTGCTGAAGTTTTGGGAAGTGCTTTGCCATTGGCAAGATCTGGATCTTTATTGTTTGGTTTCTGGCCACCTGGTGTGTTGAGCCAGAACTGCACTTTGAGAACCGGCAGAGAGGTCATTGAAGAATGGGTGCACATACATTTTACACATATCTGTGGAGATTAGGGCAGTATGGAAGCTGAAAACAACTGTCTCTGCCTGTTGCTTGCCAGAAAGGAACAGACCACACATGCCAGAAGAGCCTTTTTCCAGAAATGCATGTTGGCAGCCTCAAGCTGATTATAGTAACTTGAGGGGAGACATACTTCAGCCCGTGGAGTTTCCAAGCTCATGTTGAACAGGATTATCAATAAGAGACTGCCTGCAAGCACTGCTGTGCAGGGCCTCTTACTTGGGGGCATTTGTGTGTCTTACTTGTGCTTTGTATGTCAGCCGAATGGAGTTCATTCACGTTGAGCTAAGCTCTGAGGCAAATGCAATTGATGTGTAGTCTAGCAAAGCAAAAGGTTAGATTCTTCATTAGAAAATTAGCAGTAACAGCAGGGTGGGCTTGCCTCCAGCCTGGACTGGCACGTTGGCTGGCAGCCTGCAGGGTACCTTGTAGCTCTGAAAGCCCAAGCAGGCTGCCTGTCTCGCTGCTCTAATTACTCAAGCTATGATCACTGTGAATATGACCCCAAGTCACTAATTTTCTAAGGGATGCTGCCAGATGCTGATAGCTTGGTATTTGTCCTTTGGGGCCGTCTCTGCTGTTAATGAATGGGATTACTAATGATGCTGTGGGCACCCTGGCATGCTGTTTGATCTGTTCTATCTGCAAGCCACATGGAAAACTACAGCCTGAAAGTATAGCCAGCTGACTCCTGCCTTTGCTTGCCTTTCACTTGGTTTGTTGTTTTTTTTCAAGTTCTGGGATTACCGTCAGCCTCGGAAATACCTCAATATCCTTCCCTGCCAGGTTCCCGTCTGGAAGGCAAGATACACGGTCAGTGAGAAACTCCCACCAGTTCCACTTGTGCTCTGAGGAGAATGCACAAAGGGACATTAAATAAAGAACTGCCATAGGGTTTCTCAGCAGTTCTGCTTGTGGACATTATCAAGTTGATTTTAAAACTCCTTGGTGCCTATAAGGCATAGAAAAGCAGCATCCACAGTGGGAGCATTCAGGAGAAGGAGTGAGCAAGCACCCACCCAAGTGAAGCTAAGGCTCTTAGTTTCAGTCATATTCCCCAGAGATCTGAGTGTGGCCTGAAGCCAGTGCTGTGCCTTGAATCTTGATCCCCTTTCCCTGTCCAAGCAGTGAGGGGTGTAGGACTGGTTTCTAATGTTCCTCTGAGCATCGTGACCCTGAGGAGCTGCTGGGGCTCACTCCCCAGGTAGTAGTTCTTGCAGCTCCAGGCAGATTGCAGTAAGGATTCCCCATGAAAAGTCAGTGGTGAAATCTCTCCAGCCTCACAGATGAAAAGTTAGGAAGCAGCAGAAAGAAGTTACTCATCTTAAGTGAGCTGTATTGAATATTTCAGTGTGCTACAGCTTACCCCTTGAAACAAAGTGTTTTTGCACAGCAATTGCCTTGTACCTTCCCAGGTTTTGGCCTGGTTCTGTTTTGTGCTGAGCTCATTTAAAACCTCTGCATTTGTGTTGGTGGGAATAGGGAAAAATAAGAGTATGATAATAGCAGCATGGGAACTCTCCCTGGCTAACTGGAAGGGTGTTTCTCCCTAAGCCTTTCAGCAATGGACTGGTGACAGTGATGGTCCCCCAGCTCCGTCGGGAAAACAGTCTCCTCCTCTGGAATGTCTTTGACCTGAACACGCCTGTCCACACTTTCGTAGGACATGATGATGTGGTGCTGGAGTTCCAGTGGAGGAAGCAGAAAGAAGGTGAGTTCAGGGTTGAATGTGCTCTCTCCCCTACACTGTGGCTGTCAGCTAACCAGGGGTGTGGAGACCTGGCTCCTGATTTCAATGCTGTTGCTTTTTGACTCTTGCCTTTCCTTGAAGTAGTTCCTGCCCACCTTCCTGTCCCCCACTGCCTGCCTCAAGCTACAGCTGTTCTGTACTGGTTTTATGACATTCTGTCAGTGGCAGCTGAGGTGCTGGAAACAGAGCTTACAGAAGCACTGCCTTGTTTCCATGCTAACAAAGCAAATCTACCAAATGCTGAGTGGGTCAGTGGTGACCTTCATTGCTTTCACTCTCCTGGGAGTCTCTTTTTAAATGAATCTTTCAGAATAAATTGTGCAAATTATTAGATAGGTGCATGAGTGCAGGCACCCTTTCCCTCCTCAGGCTAACCAGTTAACCCCTCATATCATGGCCTGGGTCAGCAGGCTCCAGCATATCCCAGACCACAGACCCAGAAAGCACACCTTACTTGTCTGCTGCAAGGCAAGGGAAGAATAACTTGGGATAGAGTCTGCTCTTAGAGTTCAGTCCTGACTAAATTTTCTAGTGTAAGCAGCTAAGAGTAGGAGATTCCATACCAGAGGTTGCATAACCACACAGAGCACAGCTTTGTTTCCAGCACCTCAGCTGCCACTGACAGAATGTGCATGTCTGGCTTTGGTGTCACTTGTGCTACAGCTTTGCAGTGCTGTGTGAAAGTGCTGGTCCAGCCCTTTCCCACCAGCTGCTGGGGCCATTCAGTTAAGTCACCTTCTTCTCCATAACTTGATTTTTCTCTTTCAAAAAGAGGAAAGCAATGGAGGGCTGTGTTAGGATCTTGAGGCACAGACTAAGATAGTTTGTGAGTGAACATTGAAGCAGGCTTGAGCTACAGTTGGTTGTCTTAGCTGCATTAATAGATACATATTCAGGGTTGGACTTCTTGCTTGTCTCAAGCAACATAAATCAATCACACAAACATTCCAAGTCTGCTTCAGTGTGGAAACAACTAAGATAGCACAAATTTCCTTCCACAGAGTCTGTTGTGCTGTATTTAGACAGCCCCTGTGCCTCAGCAGAGGGGTGTAGGAAGCAGCTGTGCAGCAGCAAATTCTTAAGCATAGCAGCTGTTTGACGAGGGAAACTTAAAACTGTATCACAAGACCTAAACATGGACATAAATAGGTCTGTGTACCTCTGCCTGTTGATAGATAGTATGTGGTGAGATCTATTTCCTTACAATCTGAACTTGGCATCATCCAACTCTTTCAGAAGCAAGAAGAGGAAGGGCAGAACCACCTTCTCATTTCTTAGAAATGTTTTAAAACATCTACCTCTCGAAACAGATTTGATGAACTAAAAGATATTTTCAGTTTACAGTTATAGTTGAGAAACATTTATTTTTACTATACTATTTCTTCTATTTAAATAAACATTGTTGTGGGTCTTGTTTATTCTGGTTGTCTCACATTCGTTATATTTGGTGCTTTTGGCTTGTAAATCACAGCCTCTTTAGACGTGTGGTGACTGTGGTGTGAGGAGGCACAAAGGCTGATGTACCTGGGTCAATTTGAAGCTGAAAAGGACTTGCTGTGCCTTTCTAAGTTTAGTGCCTTATCCATTGGATGTGCCTGGTGACTTGTTTGACTCTCTTTACACTGACCACAAGACTGAGATAGTCTCTGTTTTCTGGTGGGGTCTCTGATTGTTTCTGTCCTCTTTAGGCTCTAAAGATTACCAGCTGGTGACGTGGTCCCGGGACCAGACCCTGCGCATGTGGCGGATTGACTCTCAGCTGCAGAGGGTACGTGGAGCTCTGCTTCTTCAACCATAGACACTTCTCTTACAGGCTGGATTCACCTCCCCTTCCTTGCACTCCCAGTCACTCCTCTAATATCATACAGCTGCAGGCACAGAAGCCAGCTGCTGCTGTTTCACTTTGCTCTTCAGCTCCAGCCCAAAAACGTCCCCAAGGAGACCTGTGGTGGGTCTTCTCTTTTGAGCCTGTGTCTCAAAAGTTTTGGTGGCTGTGCAAGGCTGCTTTGCTGTCTAACATTAAGTGCATAAGTTTGGAGAAGATGGAGGGCTAGGGTTTGTATTGACTCTAAAATGCCACAAGACTCTATTTCTTGGCGGTTTAGTTACCAGGTAAATGTAGGGATTGTGCCCTCCTCTACCTCCCCTTGTGTCCATTGCCTCTAAGCCTGGGGGGGGTGGTGTGTCTGGATCTGCAGCAGTTACAGATTCTGATGCAATTACTAGAACAGCTGTGCTGGCTCACACCATAGGTTCATATGGCCACAGTGTGCCCTGTCACATCTTCAGCTGATGTCTTGGGAGGGGATAAGAAGGAGGCAGGCATGGAGTGATGTTTCTCTCAAATGCCCTGTCAGCCTCCTGCTGTTTGCAACTTAGAGGCTCATTGAGTCTGGCATCTTTGTATTTGGTAGAGCTTGATGAGTGTCATTTCCATAGAGTTGTTCTTTTTTTTTTCTTGGACCTGTGTAAATTTTTGTCACCTTAAACATCAAACAACAAGGAGTTCATGGCTTTTCTGCATGTTATGTGGAAAACCATCTCATTTGTTTATTTTTCCACCTAATTCCATTCAATTGAAGATGAAATGAGCAATATTCTCTCTGTTACTGATGATTCTGTAGGCCTCCATCATATCCTTCGCAGTTGCCTCCTTTTTCAAGTCCAAAGTTCTTGATTTAATTTATCCTTTGTACCAGAACTTTGATTGTCCTTTTGCCTTTCACCACCCTTTTTCAGTTCTAGTACATACCTTTGGGGATGGGGATCTGAGCTTTGTTCTCTCTAAAGAATTCTCAGTACTCAGTTTAGTTTGTAAATTGTTTGTCATAATTCCATTAAATCATCAGCTTAGTCTTGCTTCTACATCTTGTTCCCCCAGCTTGAACTTTCAGCTTGAAATTTTTCCCGATGTATGTTGCTTTATATTTATCTGAGCCAAAGTTCATCTTTCATTTTAATACAGTTGCTCTTGTAAGGTCCTTCTGTGATTGTTTGCCACCAGCCACACTTGTTACTGCCCTGAAAAACTTGGTGGCATCAGCAAACCTGGTCATGTCGCTATTCACCTCCTATTCCAGGTTTTTAATGAATATGTTGAGAAGCATGTGTCCCAGCACAGATCCTGCAGGAGTCCTGCAGGTCTGTAACAAACTTTCTCTGTGAAAAATGACCCTTTTCTCCTACCTGATATATTTGTGAACATTTGATTTCTTTCCTGTCTTTAAATCAATTGTTCATTCATGTCAGAGCCTTTATTTTTCCTCTACTGGCTCCCACTCTTTTGTCCTTGTCTTTGTCTGGATCAAACTATGCACATGATGGCATGTTGCTGGTAACCAATGCTGTAATTTGCTACATCACACCGTTATCCTTTCTCTTCCCTTCATCTTCCCAGTTTTCTTGTGCTGAATTTCAAATCCAGGGTTTTATAGTCTCATTTTGATACAGGACCTAGAACAATAGGACCCCATCTATGCACCTGGGTCTCTAGATCCTACTGGAGTGTAAATATCAAATGCAGAAAGTGTGCTACTATTAAATTTGATCTAAAAAATTGAACATGTTTTAACAAATTAATTAAAGGAATTTAAGTAATATCAGTTTTAGTTTTGACTAAAGGTAAACCTCTATTTCTTAGACTGGCCCTGTCAATTAAGTAGCTTTTTAAGTGAGCAGGAGATTTGGCCAGGCTGTTGAGGTGACAGAGTTGAGGGTGCTGGAAAGTGGAAGATGACCTGTCTTTGTCACAGGAACAATGCAGTTTTAGTCATGACTGCTGCGTGGATAGACCCACCTTGCAAATCCATCTGTCTGGAGAAGTGAGTTGTTTAGTGGGGCTCTTCCCACAACTTGGATTCTCTTGTGCAGCACGTGGGTGTGTTTGTTCTTTTCAGCTGTGTGCTAATGATATCCTGGATGGAGTTGAGGACCTCATTGATGGGATTTCTCATCTGCCAGAGCCAGACAAGACCCTTCACCCCCAGGACACGGAGCCCCAGCACAACTCTGGGCATGGGGATGAGGAAGGTGAGTGAGAGAAGCGATGCCTTGTGGAACCCCAAACACCAGCATCTTTGGGGTGGCAAGAAGATACATCTTGGCATAAAACATAGGCAAAGCACAACTTGCTGCTGTTTCAAAGGTTGATGGATTCCTCATCAGGGGAGAGGAAAAACACTAGGGGTTCCTCAGGATGGTCCTCTCAAGTTTTTTCTCTTTTAACACAATGATTCTAGCTGTAAAATGAAACTCTTGCTTGTCATGATTGTCATTTAATTGCATGCTCTTTAGGTTGTAGTTGTGGCTTGTTGCCAAAGGTGAGGCAACCAGAAAGTAAATTCTGCCTTTTAAGAAGACAAATTAGTTTAAGCTGAGAGATGAGCCTTCAGAAGAGGGAGTGTGTGAGTGAGGCACTCTGACACAAGCTGCTGATGTCACACCTGGTACCTAAACATTTCTGCTGGGGTCACTGTGTGAACTAATCTAACAAGGAGATGTTTGATGGTGTCTTCACCAGAAGCAGAAACAGGTCATGAATTTTTGGTCATGTATTGATGAAAGATCACTGAAGGCTGACAGAGCAGAGAGGGGAGGGATAATATCTCTGGCTTCTGATGTACTGAGGGGTGGATGGGAGACACTTTGACAGAAAGTATTTGTGTATCCCTCCAGAAAAGAAGGCATGCAAGGAAGGAACATGAAGGAGGCTCAGTGTGGTTAAGGCTCTGGCCAGGTTAAACATTCAGGGTTAGTGTTTGACCAGTGTAAGTACAAGGAGAAGAGGTTATAGCATCACATGGTGATGTGCATGGAAAAAGGTATCTAAAGGGATTTCTACAGCTACACTGAGGAAGAAGAATTGGATGCCCCAGTGCCTTTTTGTCAGTTTGGGTTTAAATTCACAGCTCCTTTCAGTGTTGCAGCTGTGCCATAATGGATCCCTATGTGATGGGTTTATGGGGAAGCAACTTGATTTTCCCTTTGGTTTGCCAATAAACTGCAGAGAAGGGGAGAAGGTGGTCATTGAATAAGGGAGCAGTTGTGCGGTCCCTTAGTGAAAGCATCTCTTCCTAACTGTAAGTTTCTTGCTCAGCAATTAACAGTGAAGTTCCTCTCTGTCTCCTGTCCTTTGGGGCAACAGAACAAGTTTCTGAAAGCCATCAGAACTCTGTCAAAGTCAGGGTTTTATAAGATGATAGAAAAAGCCCCAGATACCTGTGCTCCCCATGAGCAGCGCTTCTCGGGCAGCACAACCTCTCTTGCTCCAGCTGGGAGCATTCTCATTCTGGCTGCCTGATCTTTCTTTTTTCCACAAGTGGGAGTTAACTCTTCCACTGTCCCTGATGATGCACACCCAAACATCCCATGTGGTTACTGTGTGGGTCTGGTTTCCATGTGGTTTCTTCTTTAGTTCAGACTGTTATGGTTTTCCTTGTGGCCAAAGGGAATGAATATGGCTTTTCTGTAGCAGGGCAGATTTTGCTGCAAATAACACAACTGCAGGATTAACACACAAGCAAATCCCTAGGTAGGAATTTCAGTTCTTTCTTGCCAAAAAGCTATTGTGGACTGTTGATGTTTCACCCTGGGGGTGGCTGCATTTCAGCTGCAGACAAAGCCTCCATGTTACATTAGTAAAGCACTTTGGAGGATCTTTTGAAGAGATCAGCACTCTGCAGGTGAACGAGAGAGCCCCAGCTGTGCCTTTGCTGCACAGCTCTTGCTGCTGCTTATGGAGGAGCTTTAGGAATCTGTACAAACGTGGGGCTTTGGAGGATTAAAAACTAATTGGAAGGGAATGGGAGGAGAAGACAAAGGGAGGGCACTGCCCATACTGGGAACCTCAGAGATGGCTTTTCAGTAAGCTATGTGGTATCTTGAGCTAGAAATAATTATCTTCCCTGAGAGCCACTGATCTTCCTTTAATCTCCTTTTCAGCTCCCTTTTCTGGAATATATCTAAGCACTGTAATAGAATTGCAAACAAGAATGATTGGCTAAGCATCCTACCTATCCAGATGGAGCAGCCCATTGGGTAGTGGTAATACCAGATATTTGTCCCTGCACCAAAGTCAGTAACTCCTAGCCGAATGCCTGTAAAAGGTCAACTTCTTGAATTTCTTTTCATTTGTTTGTTTTTGCTGGGAATAGTCTGTGCAATGTGATATTGCAAGTGTGAGAATGACAGCTGAAAAATCAGGACTTCCCTTCTGTCCTTGGAACCATCATAATAAAATATATTTGGCTTTCTTAAGAAGTGGTGCTGCAGCAAAACACCCTTATGGAGCTGCACAGCAAGAAGCAAGGCACAACCACAGGCAGAGACCAATTCTTCTGAAACTCAGTGAAGTTTGTTACCTTAACTTAATTCTTTGTATCCTGCAGCGCTTGCCTGGCTGTTTAAATGTGTTCTGGCCTTCAGGGGTTATTGTCCTCCTAAAAACTGCTGGAATTGAAGAGTTAGACACAGTATTTTGATGAGTCTTTAAAGGCTGTTAAAGCACTAGAGTGCTTTGCAACATTAAATGCAAATGGCTGCTGCAAATGAATTAAGCTTCTATTAGGACCAGAAATACTCCCTGCTCTCTCCCAAAGCATTGTTATGCTTTGGAAGTTTTCCCTGAAAGTCAGGAATGGTGGGGTTTTAGTCCCAAAGACCAGAGCTCCTCCTGGAGACTGCTAGGGCTGCAGTTCTTTCCTGCTGAACTGAGATGCTCCGATTCAGCCAATCGTGACTCTGGCAGCATTGTGTAGGGAGGAAAAAGGGTCTCACATGAGAAGAGAAGGACCATTTAGGACTGTACAAAGTACAGGCAGGTTCTGTAACTTTCTTGGGAACTCTATGTGCAGACAGCTTTGGTTTTTTGAAGAGAAGGGTCAGAAACTTGCCTCCAAACAACAGTTATTACTGTTGAGCTCACAAGTCTTTTCCAGGTAAAGCTCATACCTTCATTTGTCAGAAGAGCAGAGGAAAGCCTGCTGTCTTGGCTGCCTCCTGATATCATGTGAGATACTCTGCCTGTTATAGCTTGTCTCAACTTGTTTTCCATCTTTCCTTTCAGCCTTAAAAGAAGATTTCCTGAATGATCCCCTGGTGGGAAAGAAAACAGACCAACTGGGGCTGCCTCAAACACTGCAGCAGGAGTTTTCACTGATCAATGTGCAGATCCGAAATGTCAATGTGGAGGTACAGAGTTTTCTTTTGCTGGCTTGTTAGGAGGGGATGTGGGCAGGCTGGCTTATTGGAGCCTTTAGAGGGGAACCTTCTTTGCTGCAGTGACTGCTGTCTGTAAACAAGTTTTATTCTGGGCTGTCGAGATCCTCTTGGCCAGGGGTAGTAAGAAAGAGGATAATCCCAGACAGTGGTGTGAGAGAAATGTTTCAGCACAGTAAGTGCACTGGCTGATCTTGAAAAGGCTGGATGGTGTTTTGTTCTCTGCCTAGACTGCAGAGTGGAAGGTGACTTGTTCCATGCAGTTAATCTCATTTCAACTGGTTCTGAATCCCATCTGCTGAGATCTGTCCCTCAGTTTTGCCCCCTTTCTTGCACTCCAAACTCTCCTCTGTGCATGGGAGCTGACTGGAGGCACAGCCCTGGACTGGGCTGGGAGGCTCAAGGCAGCTGCCTGTCTCCTTTCCCCACCCCTGTGGTTTCACAGCTCATGGTGTGATCCTGATGTAGTTTTCTGCTGCCTGTTACTGCTGCACTGGGCCAGGAGCTCTCCATGGCCAAGTGAAGTGGGCTGGGGTGCAGTGGCTGTTGGGAGCAGAGCCCCTTTCTTGTGCTACCTGGGCTGGCCACAGTCTCTGGATGGTGGAATATCAGTCTGCTGGTGCAAGCTGAGCCTGTCCCCATCTGCCTGGGGCTTTTTGCCGTCACTGTGTTCCCTGTCCTTGAGAACAGCATGACTTCATCTTATGTGCAGAGGAATCAGTCCCTCAGCATGAGTTGAAGCCACTGTAAGTGTAAAAGTCCTGGGAGATCTAACTAGAGACCAATTGCTTTTCCTCACAGATGGATGCAGTGAGTCGCAGCTGTACGGTGTCGGTGCACTGCGGCAACCACAGAGTCAGGATGCTGGTGATGTTCCCTGTCCAGTATCCCAATAATGCTGCACCATCCTTCCAGTTCATCAACCCAACCTCCATCACAGCTTCCATGAAGGCAAAGCTGCTGAAGGTGTGTAAGGAGTAGAGAGTGTCTTTATAAAAGTACAAATGATGGATACTTGACATTTGGATTTTCGAGATATAACTTAAACATCAGACTTTGCTGAAGGCATACCACAGGTCTTGTTGAACTGGTAAATTGTGAAGCCCATAGGATGAGGTTTTTGTTGGTGCTGCAGCCCAGTGTTCGCCTTTTTCTACACTTTCTTCATTGCTGCTGTGTTCCCATGTGATGTGTATTGCCTGAGGATCCCTAACATCCTTCATGCAGTTGCCCTCAACCCAATAATAGACAAAATGACCAGCTAAGCATCCACCTGCAGAGTGATACTATTTTTGAGCTAGGATGTTGCTTACTGCTCTACTACACAAGCTGCTTTAAAAATGAGGGGATTTTTTTACACAGGCCCTGCTAGTGCAGACCAGGTGTTTGATCATCTGGTGTAGCAAATACTATTGCTAATGAAATCTTTTCCCCAGCAACACATTGATGGATCAGTTTGGGTTTCTTCCTGAAAAAACCTGATCCAGTTTGCCACAAACTGGTATGAAACATATGGGCTGCAGTAATATTGAAGCCTAAGTCCTGGCTCAGTGTGCTGTTAGGTGAACCTCAGTGCTCTGATCAAAGCACACAGCCATTCCTCAGAGCAGACAGGACACCAGTGGCTCCAGTAGACATTAGGGGATGTCTGTGACCTGTTCTGGCACCTAAGCTGCTCTGCAGACAAAAAGGATGTGGGCATAGTGTGGAGGTAACCGTGAATAAAGCTGTGTCTTGTATGTATTCCAGATACTGAAAGACACCTCCCTGCAGAAAGTGAAGCGGAACCAGAGCTGCCTGGAGCCTTGCCTGCGTCAGCTGGTCTCCTGGCTGGAGTCTGTTGTGGTACGGAGAGTGCATGGGCTCTCTGCCCTAGTTTGTTGTCTTTTCCCATGTCCCACACTTCTGACTCTGCAGTGAGAGTCTGGCCTCGTTAGATGTGTAAATAGACCCCTGTGACTGGCCATTACATTTGTGTGAGCACTTCTGGTTAATGTTGAAGAGAGCTGGGTGGATGATTAGATGTGTTTTGTTTTCCACAAATGAAGCCCTGGAGGTTTGCTTTGGGGAACTCTGATATCCAGGTTACCAGGAGTGACTGGAGATTGGAGAATCTTAGTGGTGCATGGGAGCTTCCCAGCTCAGAATATATTTCACTGACTGCTAGGGCATCGTTATCATCTGTGAGAGAAGGTAAGAGGCCTCAGGTTGTTGATGGAGTCATTCTTGTCCGAAAGGCAGTGGCAAATGTCTTCACCTCCTCAGTTCAAAGTCAAAGGTCCTTCTAGTCCTATTCTAGGGTTTTTGTTTTCTTCCTTGAAAAAAACCCCAAACTGTGAAAATCTGGTTTTTTTCTGCAGCCTTCTGCTGAGGTTTTGTAGGGATGATACTGCAGATAAATCCAAGTCACACTCTGCTCTTAGCTGTGAGATCTGTGATATCTACTCAGCATCCCAGTGTCAGGTATTAGGTCTTTGTGTGGGTGAAGTGTACTGGAGTGGGTGTTTTTAGCATTCAGGAAAAGATGGGAGAGTCTCCTCAGGTTTCTTTTCTGAGAGGTTTTGTTTATTCATCACAAATAAAGGGCTGGGGTGTTTTTTTCACATGTGAAGGCTTATTCTGCTTGGTTGCAGCAGTAATATTGTAAGAATGGGAACTTTCTCTGCTGTATGGAAATCTGATGACTCGAGGCACCACTGCTTTCAAAGAATTCCTTTAGCCTGAAGTTGTAGTATTATTTACTAAATAAATGCAGAATTCTGCAGATTTCTGCCAAAATTCCTATGGATAGTCCTGAGGACCCCAGTAATTCACACCACCTGCCTTTCTCACTTGAAGACTCCCAGCCTGTGTTTGACACCCCACAGTTGTGTGGTACTCCCACTCAAGGAGATTTTGTGCATCATTGAGATATCATGTTCAGCTCAACTAGCTGTCCTGCGAGTCACATCCAGAGTTTGAAGGTCAGATTTTCTGTATAGTTTCCTCTTGTTCCTCCCCAAGTTAAGCTCTGCATTTCAACATGGTTATGGTGGGAGACAAGTCTCTGGACAAGCAGCCAGAGAAGCTTTTTCCTCAAAGGCAAATGTGCCTGCAAGTGCCTCTGCAGCTGAAGCAGCAACTGTGCTCTGAGCTTGGTCTGCTCTGGCTCAAAGGATGAGCACCTCCTGTGAGGCTGCTTGGCACTGCCATGTCTGATCTCTGGCTGGATTTCTCTCCTGTGGCAGCAGGAGTGTGACCTTGGGTGCCTTCTGTTTCAGAACCAAGAGGACAGCACGTCCAGCAATCCCTACGCTCTGTCCAACTCCGTGACGCCCCCCTTGCCCACGTTTGCCCGGGTCTCCAATGCCTATGGCTCCTACCAGGACTCAAACATCCCATTCCCACGCACCTCTGGAGCCAGGTTCTGTGGTGCAGGTCAGCCCTGTCACTTATCCATTAAAACAGGTACCCAAGGAATGGTCCTTTTAGGTGTCTCGGGAGCACTTGCCTCTGAACAAGATGAGGTTTGGTCATTGCCATGCAAGGAGTAAGGAGTGGTGTTAAAGTAGTGATACTGTGGTAAATTTAGAGGTGAGACTAGTTAGCAACTGCTTGCAGTTGGGGTTGCATGTAGGGCTTTAGGATTTGGAAACGCAGGGCTAGCTGAAGAGATAACCTTTGGCTTATGGCATGCCAGAAGCATTGACAGATCTTTTTATAGAACACTGGGAATAGCTGTTTTCCTTGCCTAGTTCTCTGCTACGAGCATCACATTACTGGTGTATTCTGGCACTCTGTCTTCACAAAACTCCTGTGATTTAGGGTTGAATTTAGCCCTTGCTGAAACCATATTCACATTACTAACCACTCTTTTCTCATTCTACACTCTTTCACTTGTCCAAAATAGCTTTCCCAAGGTCATTACGAAACTTCCCTAAATGGGAGATGAGGTACAATCACATCCAGGTTTCCAGGAGAGTACATAGAGGGTAAAGTTCATTAAAAACTAGGTTAAGATCTGAGTAAGAGCTGTTAAGTTCCACTGAGCTGTTTCAGATGCACCCATGCCTTCTCTGAACCTGACTGCATCCCAGTGTTGAGCATGTTTTGAAAGCTGCTTTCCATACAGGCCTCCCGGAATTCACAAGTAAAAGTAAAACAGAATAATATTGATTGAATAGGCCCAGTAAAGGCTGCTAAATCCTGAAATGCTTGCAAGAGTAGGTGGCTGAAGACACTTGAGAGGCTACCAAATGGGATAAGGCTTGTGAGAGAATGTTTTGGAGTTGGTTTCGGATGTCTGGGGCTCTCCTGTTGAAGAAGAGAATTGTACAAGCTGCAGTGGTTTCTCTGCATTGCCAAACATCACCTCACCTCTGGAGTAACAGTGTTTGGCAAGTTCTGGTGGAGAGTTAAACATAAGCATACATTTGCTAATTTTCTTTTCCTGTCTTTTCTCTAGCAGCTATAAGCCACTTGAAGTTGTCCTTTTGAGAAAAACATCTCAAAACCCCCATGCTTTGTAGTGGGTTTGCAGGGAGTTGATTTGGGTTGAGAGAATGTCTGCTTTTAGTTTATAATTAGTAAGGGTAGTGGATAAGAACCAAGTTCCCTGCCTCTGATACACAGGGAAATCTGGTCATTTAATTTGAACCACCCCTGAGTAATCTCCTCCTTGTTGCACGATCTTGATGCCATGTCCTGTCCCTTCAGGGTACCTGGTGTATTTCACGAGACCCATGACCATGCACCGCGCCGTGTCCCCAATGGAGCCCACACCCAGGTGAGTGCCCTGTGTGGAGTTTGAGGTGTGCTGCTGTCATGGGCAGGAAAGCAGGTAAATACCAGGTCCTACATTGGAGCTTGTCCCCTCCAGTGTTAGCTGTGCCCTCTGTGCAGAGCACCTGGGCCCTTACACCACAGGATTACAGCAGACATTTCTTTCCAGACACTGGCACCATTGCTGGCAGCTTGGGTTGGTGGAGATGTCAGTGTGAGCTGCAGGGTGTTTTGGTGGGAAAAGGCCCTAGAAGTGTATTCCCTTCCTTCCAGGTCTCTGTCAGCTTTATCAGCCTACCACAGTGGCCTCATTACTCCAATGAAGATCCGCACGGAGACTCCAGGCAACCTGCGCTTGTACAGTGGGAGCCCAACACGCAGTGAGAAGGAGCAAGTCTCCATCAGCTCCTTCTACTACAAAGAAAGGGTAAGTACCACACCAAAACACTGCTCCCAACACTTCAGCCTTCATGATCTCTTTTCCTTTCATTTAGCATTGCTAGTAACAAGCTTTATATTCCTCTCAAAAAGACATCTTTTTACAGGCAGTTCTGTCAAATGGATTTATCTCCTATTAGTAACTTCTTTACCAATCCTCTCTAGCATTTGACCTGCTTATTTTGTTGTTTCTCTCTGTTGACCTTCTAGTTCCCTTCAGTGCATTATACTGTCACTTTGCATTATGTAGGGTTAAAATCTCACCCTTTAAGAAGCTGTAGTCTTCAGATAGGTACATGTAGGCAGCTCTTGTTGTTCTGGGTACTCCCTGATATATATAACTGCAAAGGGTTGTGACTCTCTGCAGCTTTCTGCCAACCTCTCCTGGACTATGGGATGTGGTTGGTTATTTCTATTTCAGGTGTCTCTTTCAGGGATACGTGCCCCTTTTTTTTTAACAAAAATAATTTCTACATTATTCTCTGAAGACCTTCCAATCCACATAATTCTGGTTTAGGTGAAGGTTTTGCTGTTGTTCCTGTTTACAAGGCTTTGGAGAAGAGTGGGATTGTTTCCTTCTGGGACATGGTAGATGAGGAAGACCTGTTGTAATTGTAGGGTGGCTGCAGGGTAGTTGTAAAGCAGCTGTGAGGGCCTGATGTGCCTGGAGCAGATGCTGTGAGAGCAGTAGGCCAGGTAGATTGTTAGAAACAAACTGTGCTTCAGCAGGGGGTGAAGTGGCTTGCAAAAATGCAGTAAGCTTCCACTGGGAGCCTCAGAATTTGGGGCATTGAGTAGTTTGTTCACTGTCCCTGCAGAGGACATGAATCTGTTGCAGCAGTGAAGAGCTTCCAGGTAACCCAGGGAAAGCCAAAAGCTGTCTGCACTCTGCTGGCAGAAGGGTTTGGGAGCTTGTGTCCCAGGAGCAGAGGAAGTCAAAGAACACCCATCCTTCCTGGGCACCAAGACAAGTCTTGTTTTTCTGGTGGTGCTGGGTGTGACAGCCTACCCTGTCTCTGGGACTGTCTTGCTTACATGATGTCATTACACCTCCCAGCTGTGGGGAGAGCCCCTGTCCCCAGTGCAAATTCTGCTTCCATACAGACCCCAGAAGACTCTGAGTCCCCATCCTGTTTTTTTTTTCCCACACAAGCTTTTTTTTTTTTTTTTTGATGAAAAGAGAAAATGGTGCTGCCTGGAATTATAGAATAGAATTACAGCCTGTCCTGGTCTTTGTAGGAGAGTTTATTTAAAGAGCTACCTCTGTCCTCTGCAGCAGGCTTGTCCCCATACACAGCCTCTCTAAGATGACAGACAAGGCTAAAAATAACATGTGGAACCAGCTTGGTGCAATTTCATGTGACCTGTCTCCCCAGCCCTTGTATTGATGGCAACAAGATTTTTGTCACAGGGTAAAAGAATTGAAGAGAACAAAGCATGTGTGCAGCCATGTCTGCTGAAAGCCAAGGGAAATTCCTGTGTTCCCCTTGCCCTGCTGAGCTATCTCCTCGCATGCTGGAATAAATGTAAGAACCCTAGCAGGAAGCTGGTTCAAATGTTCTTGCAGATGAAATAACATTAAAAAAAACAAACCCAAAAAGCCTGTATCTCCCTTCAGCAAAGGTTTTCTGATTCTTCAGGAGTTGATGTCATGGCCTCTGTTAGATCAATGCTACATATTTTTGTTATTTCATTATGACAGTTTTAAAAAGCCCAGACTCTGAGTTTAGTTAACTCCTTGCTCTGAAGCTTGGATTTTATGTTCACATTAAATAAAAGTTGAAATTTTGTGCATCAAACTGTGATATCAGACAACCTCATCCCCAAAATTGAATTTATCAGCCATAACCAAGTATTTAAATCCAGTGTAGCAACCACTGGCATCCACTACCATTAGCAAACAAATGGAATTTGCCCATTGCTAGACAGGAAAGATGTCATGTTCCCATAAAGGCAGGGGAGCTGCTGATTTCCAGCAGAGAGCTCCTTAGTAAGCCAAAATGAAGCTAAATCTGGCACTGAGCCTTTCTGTGCTCATTTAAATATGTATATATATATATATATGTGCATACACACACATCTATATATATATCTTTCTCACTTCTTATTCACACATGCACACTCCTCATTTCTTCCTCCCTCTTTTTCACTCCTCAAAAAAACCCCACTGAAGAGCAGTAGTCAGCAGAAAGGAGGAGCTTTATCTGTACTGTGGCAATGCCATCAGTGTTTTGAACCTGAGTGTCTCTTAAAGAAGGTGACATGGAGTTCTTTTCCACCCCTGCAGTTAGAGGGTCCTGCCAGTGGGGACCTGGGGGCTGCTCAGCCTTGCTGTACCTGGGCATGGTGACAGGGGTGTCCTTATGCTTCCCATCAGGGAACTGGTGGGGGGACTGAGCTTAGTTTTGCTGCTTTTCCACTGTGCTGAATTTCCTTCAACTAACCCTTTTCTCCTTCTCTGTGAGGCCTGCTGGAGGAACCTGTAGCACGTGGCTGCAGCCTTCTCCTCTCTTTTTCCATGGGGTCCTGCAGCCAGCCTTGGCTTCCTGGCTGTAGAGCTCTCCCAGCAGTGAGGTGCAAGGGGATGTAGAGGCTGAAGGCATGGTTGATGGTCCTGACTGTCTATCATCAACTGAAAACAAGTGCAAAATACATTGTACCTGACCCAAATAATCCCCTTTTATTGACTCCTAGAGATCTGTACACAAAACTTTTTTTCAAGTGAGTGTACACTAATGTGCTTTGAAAGATTCCATTTGCTGTTGCTGTAATACTGTGTGAGTACCTATTGCAATATCTTCAAGTTCCTAATGAAAGCCTCCTTTGGAGCTATTTGGCATAGTCAGTGAATTTGATTGCTCACTCAATCTGAATGAGTTTCTCAACCCATTATGACAATATCCACATGGCCCTGCCAAGTAGCAGTGTCTCTACATCCCTTCTAATATCCTGACATATGGTTTTTATTGTTTAAAATGAAAGTGAACAGTTACAGCAGGTTTCAATGAATGAAGTTCTGGAGGATGCTGGATGTTAAAGGGAATCTGAGTAAGCAGGGGTGTCTGTTTAGCTTCCTGCAGATATCTGTGCCATGGCACTGGACAGCTGTGCTAAAAATGATGCAGTTTACACTTAGCTGCCTTCCTCTTCAGGCAAGAGGATTAAAACTTTGGAGTTCAGGCATGTGGGGTGCTTGGGTGTTGTCCTCTGCTCAATTCATGGTATGAACAAGGTCACATGAAGCAGTTCAGTGCTTCTTGCAGTAGTACAACTCCATGTGGAAGACTTTATTCAGATTTGTGTTTGCCAAAGTCTTCCATAGAGGCTGGTGTTGGGCACAGCCACAGCAGCCCTTGCTCTGCCAGAGCCATAGGTAATGCTCTGTACAATTGTGTGAGGGTGAAAGTGGTTTGCAATGTTCACTGTGTACCAGAGCCATTGGGAACAGTATCTTTTACTCTGCTGGTTCAGGGCACGTTTCATTTCAGTTTATTTACCTTTGTCTTTAACTTTCTTGGTGTCTCTCTTCCTCCTCCTGGGTATAATGTTTTCGCGTACAGATGTCTCCTCGCTCTGCCCGGCGCCGTTGGTCCATACAAGCAATTAACGACTTCCCGGTACTGTGTGCTGTGCTAATTCTGTCCTTGATATGACCCTGTCTTCTGCCCAAGGGCCCAAGAATAAAATGCCACCTGCCTGCCTTTGAGTAACCTGCACAGAGCTGGGGGACTGGCACTCCACGCAGGGCTAGGGCTTCACAAGAGCAGATGAACGTGTAAGTGGGCAGGAGCAGACAGTAGTTTGCAAGGTGCAGTTACTGACCTACAGGATGCCTGTTTCACCTGGCCTTGTGGTCAGGAAAGGATGCCAAGGGATAATTTGAAGTGTAAGTAAAGATCAACCTCTAAGATACAGAGTGCACTGTAGAGGAGCTGAGTGATTATTATATGTCATCAACCAACTGATGAGACTGACATTAGAGCACCTAATTTCTGTAAAGACAAAGCCTTGCTGGAGAGGGAGGGAAGATACTTAAGAGCTGTGGAAGAAGCAAACTGGTTGAGTTTCTAACAATCTGTCATCTCATTAACATGAACTGCCACTTCTCAGTGCAATCCATCACACAGTCCTATTTCCTGGATCAAAAAATACAATTTCTTCTTAACTTGTGATCTTCTCCCAGCCCTTGGAGTTGCACCACTGCATTCATTCAGAGTGGTTGCACTTCAACCACCTGGCAGGTACTCCCTCCTCCTGGCACCTGCCCTGCCAAGTCTGCTTTGACAGTTGTTTTCTGATTGTCAGGTCCACGTGTCCCTCAGGCTCCAACATCATTCATGATACCATCTTCTTGATGATATCAGGATTGCTCAAGCTGTGCTGTACATGTGGGCAATTACTATTTCATCACTCATCTTCCAAGCATAGACGAAGCTCAGAAAATTCCATTTCAATTTAAAGATGATCTCTTTAAGTCTGTTTGTCTTAATGTCTGCATGAACAACTGTTTTTTCACAGCTGCTGTCCTTCATGCTATCTCTTCATAAGACAGCAGGGAATAAAATAGAATTCTGTAACACCTGATTTAACTTGGTATAATAGGATCAAGTTTTCCTAATTGCAAGAGTTCTAAGACTGTACTAGCAAATAATAGGTGAAAGAAACCAGAAGTAATTTACTTGACTCCATCAAGGCTTTTTGCAAAGAGCCTTGTGAGCAGCAGAGGCAAGAAATGAAGTTCTGTCTTGAATCAGGAGCAGACTGAAAGAAAGAAAATCAAGCAATGAACTTGCCATCTTGAGTGGTAAATTGCAGAGCACAAAGGCTATGGTTTAATTCCCTTACTACTGTCCTGGAAGGAAGAGCAAGTAGTGATGTGATTAAGTTACAATTTTCAGTAATGCATATTTAAAAGAGATACAGGGGTTAGTCCAAGCCTTGAAGGATTGATTGTATTTGTGGATAACCTTTGAAAGAGGCTAAACTGACTCTCTGAAGGGGGCAGCAGTGCCTAAGGTGAAGACACAGGCTTACACAAGGAGAGGCATAGGTTCCAATGCCTTCCTTCTGGTAGAAGAGCTCAGCACTGCTCAAGGTGTTTGAGGAAGCAAGAGCTTAGCAAGTTTACAAGAAGCAATAATTCCTCTTTCTAGCCTCCTCCTCTGAAGTGCCCATGCTTCAGGGCAGGTGCCAGCTATTGATTGATGGAAGCTATAAAGAAATATTCCTACTGTGGGGCACTTGATTCAGAAGGGCCTTGGATTTTTTTAGCACCTTTATGGCAGGTGCCTGATACCGTGGGAGATGCTGGAAATAGTAAATGTTGATTATTTTGAAGAGAAAATCCAGGCAGTGCTGCGTGAGCCACACGGGGGAGTTAATCTGTAGGCAGTTGTTCAGAATAAAGGAGCATAGCATTCTACAGGGAGGAAGCAATTTTTGCATTTTATTAAAAAATAAATATGAGAAACAGCTTGAACCTGACTTGAGCAGGTTTAACTATTTTGTACATGTCTTATTGCAGCTTAATCTCTTGGCATTGAGTCTGTTCTTTTCTGTTCACAACCTTTACCTTTGCCTTACTAACGCCAGTTGATACCACAAACCCTGAAATTTTGCATATGCTGATGTGAAACAGGCATTTTACATTTCAGGATCCTACTTAAAGCCCTGCCTGCCTCAGCAGGATCCAAAGGCACACACACCCAAGTGTTCAGCATCCTTTCCAAGCGGGCAGCATTTTGCAACTCCTGCTGCTGAGTATGCAGTGATGATGGTGGTTGCTACAAAGCAGTTGGTGGCTTATTCTTGGGCTATCTGTTTCTACATGTAACCCATTTACTGCCATCGTTATCACCTCAGATTGCAGCAAATTACAGCCTTGGGTATAGTAGTGCAGGTGCAGGCTGGCTTTTTTAGTCATTATCCAGTGCTGTTCCCTGCTGTCACCTCCAACCCATGATTGCCATAAATGCTCTGGTTTCTTTCCTTCTCGTGCTCTGAGGAACTGATGAGTCTTAATTTACTTATCACTGTAGCTATTTTCTTTGGTATCTTCCCCTCATTAAACTGAGGAGCAGCTGAGGTAGATGCAGTTCTCCTTGGCATGGATTCTAGGCTTCAGAAAGAGCTAGAAATGTTGTGGGCAGTGCAGAAGACCTGTGCCTTTGTCCTTCAGCTGCCAGCAGCTAGCTTGGTGCATGTTGATTCCTGCTTCAGCTCCAGCTATTATGTTCCCTGCTCCCCATCCTGACCTGTGCTCCAGCCCCTAGGAAGAGATGTGTTTTCTGCTCTACCCTAATCCCCCTGAGCCTTGGTGACACCTTTTGATTACACCATAGTGGGAGCTTCTCCTGGGAGAAGAGGTGAAACAGGAGGGAGGTGGACCTTGGCCAGATAAACCCAACCTAAAGCTTTCTTTGTCTCTGATAATCCCTGTTAAATGCACTCAAATGCCACCTGGTGGAGAACTACTCCTGTAATTAATACCAGCAATTACTGGGTTCAAAGCAGAACTTCTGCTGTCAATGGTGATGAACTTTATCCCATCTGTGATGGTTCCCATACTTCTGATTGTGGGGTTTTTTTAACTCTTACTTGCTGTAGCTGAGATAAACCACACTTGCAAAAAACCCAGGCTTTTTTCATGGTGACTCTACATGTAGCTTTATGATTTTTTTCTGTTACAGCTTTAGGGGCTGGAAGTGGTGGGCATGGAAGTGTAGTACAGGCAGGGCCTGTGGCCATTGACTAATTCCATTCCTGGAGCTGCACCAGTAAAGAATTAGGGTTTCCTTTTTTGCCAGTAAACAAGCAGAGTTAAAAGGAAGAAAACAGGACAATTTTGGTTTGAGTCCAAGTTCTCAGGGGTTTCTGGTACATTTAGTGTTTCCATTTGTATGATGATATGCTAAAAGCAAGCAGTGGAAACCATTCATGAGAGCTCTTTTCTTTTTCATTCTCATCTTCATTTGTTGTCATTCTCCTCCAAAAAAAAAAAAAGACCCAATTGCCTGTGGAAAATTAAATGTGTTGTCCATGTTTGTAGTCTTGAAATGCCTATTGGGAGGCTTCTTCAGTCTGCTCTTGCAGGGGGCAGGAGCAGGTTGAATCTGTTCCAAAAGACTGGGCAGAGGGAGCTCTCCATCGACTGAGTCCTGGGGGCAGCTGGCTTACAAATGGCCAGAAGGTGGCAAGTTGCTCTCCAAATTACCTACCAAGCTCTAGAAACTCTTGTTGATAGCCCTGCAGAACGTGGGTCTGTGTCTGCAAGCCTGGGCTCAAACACCTGCTCAGACACAACACAAATAACAGCTTTTGCTGTGAGAAGCCTGGTAGCCCTTCCAGGGTAGTGCCTGAGCTCTTTCCTCCTGGTATGTCATTGTGCTGGGCTCCCAAGCTTCACTCATATATTGATTTTGGTAGCCTCAGCAGCTCCTCACTGCACCTGGGAGACAACATTTGCTGTCCTGAGAAAGAATGAGGCACTCAAGTGCCACTGTTACTTGGGAACCTTCTTGTAGTACAGCCCACATCCTTCAGCATGGGATTGGCAGCTAAACCTCTAGGTGTTATCAAAACAGGATTAGCTTGCCCAACATCAAGAGAGGCAGAGCTGATCCAGACTGTGCCTTGATTAGGAACTGATGGACTGAAGAGAGGTGGGTCTCTCACCTGACCCCATTCTAGCCACCTTGCACTGCACAGTGCTCTTTACCTTCAGGGGACAGATAAATACTGCAGGCAGATTCCTCTTGGATTAATTAGGATTTGAATAGATGTGGCAGAGAACTAGTCAGTCAGCTTTTCCAGAGCACTGGATGCTGACAGCCTTGTTTCTACCAGTGTTTCACCCCTCTGAATGTTGGGCACCATGCAAGCTCTGCTCCTCTTTACTCGGGGGTGGTGGAAGATCGGGGGAATGGTGATGCTTTGTAACATCAGCATCCCTGGAAAAACCTACCTTCGCCTCCTTTGAGGCTGAAATGCCTTCTTCACTTCCTGTCAAGCTGCACCCTCTGATCCTCAGCTGTGCAGCGTTCAGAGAAGTTTCAGGAGCTCATCCTTTTTGCTTCTTGTGGCATGTGTTAGTAGTGTGCTCAAGCATGGCAAGACCTCCTCAGCACGCTGGCCTAAGCTTGGCCCAGGCAGGCAGTGGCATTTCTTAAGGTCATGAGTAATTTTTAAAGGACATTTTGTGTCTGATAAGCCTGCCCAGGTTCTCACAGGACTGCATGGTCATGGTCAAAAGCCATTTGGCACTCAGCCATGCCAGAGCTGGCCTCACACCCACAGTAAAGGTGATCCTGCTTGCAGATCCAAGTCCTGCCTTTCCCATATCCCAGTCTGCTCTTTAGGAGCACCAATGTGAGCCTGTGTAAGCTGTATTTGCCTTGCAGAACAATCAGCACAGGCTGCCTTGCTGGCCCCTTGAGAGAGGGGCTGTTGTGCTTTGATGAGATGTGTGGGAAGGCCCAGCATGAGTGTCCCAGGAGAGGCTCCCTAAGTCAGCATGACTGGGTTGGTCTGTCAGCTCCGTGTAGCAGTGAGGGAAGGCACCATAGGAGAGCAGCATTGCAAAGCTCTGGAACCCTGCCTAGCAGCCAGCACTTCCTTCAGTAGAGCTCCAGTGCCTTCTGCCTGTCGTGCTGCCACGATTCCTCTCATCCCTCCTCCTCACTCTCCTAGAGCAAGGAGCTGGAAGAGGTCAAGATACCAGACAGATACTCTGGTGTTTCACACAGCCAAGGTGGCTTTATGCAGCTTGGCTTTAAGATGGCCTCTGTATCTGTTACAGGGAGTATTTGGGAATCTTGGCTTCTTGTTTCTGTTCCCTCCTGTTGGTTCCTCTCCTTTCTTCTCCCCCCTCTTACGTCCTGAGCCAGCTGTAAGTAGCTGTGAGCAAGGGATCCTTGCTAGGAAAACTTGGGCCCTGCTTTATCATCTGTGAGTTGTTTGTTGATAAAGCAGGAGGTGGGAGCCCTGTGCTGGCACTGAACAGGGCTGTTGTCACCCTGAGAGGGCAGACCTAGAGACAGTCTGGAGCTGTGGGCTTGCCCTGAGGCAAAGGGCGAGCAGCAGCTGCCTCCAGCATGTCTCTGTGCTGACGCTGGCTGGAGTCAGCAGTGGTTTATCTGCAAAGGGTTCCCAGAGAATGAGAATTGAATGGTCCTCCTGCCAAACTTGCCCAGGTTTGATTGGCATCCCGATGCTGATTTATTCTATTATTGGCTTTCACAGGGAAACTCACAAAATACTTTTTAAGTGAGTTTGACCTTGAGCTCGCTGCCTTGACCTGCTTTTCACTTCCTACAGATGGAGATGCTTGTTCTCCTGGGCATGTCATGGATGTTTTCCAGGGTAACACAGAGCCTTCTGAAAGGCAGGTTTGGGTGCTGCTTGCATTATTCCTGACCCTAGTGCTTTGTTCCCTGTCCCAAGCAGCCTGCTGCCCTCTTCCCCAGTAACACCTTGCCATTGGTTCTGCAGAAATCAAGGAGGTGGAAAAGCAAACGAGAGGGGACAGATGCCAACAACCGACCCATCAAAGCTGCTGGGAAAGTTATCATCCAAGATATTTCTTGTTTGCTGCCTGTCCACAAGCTGCTGGGAGAGCTCTACATGTGAGTACCTGTGGGCTTCATCCTTTTCCAAATGAAAGTAGCTGTCTTTGGCATTGCTGTGCTTTAATCCTGACATCAGTCAGCATGGATCTGTGAATGTTTCTCTACCTTTTTCTTCTGTTCTTGTCTCACTGCTTTTTTTGGTATCCCTCTGCCTGTGAGAGGGCACCTGTCTCCTGTAAATCTGAAAAGTGTGAGGGAAGAAATTTGTGATGAGATGTGGTCAGCAGAGTTTGAATCAGCATCATCACTGCAAATTTTACAGGTTGTGATTTTCACCTGCTAAAAAGAGAAATTATCAGTAGAAATTCTTTTTCAAATCTCATGTTAAATGCACAGGCTTAAAAACCTCAGTAAATGGCTGTAAAACTATTAATAGCTTATAAAGCTTTTTAATTTCAGAAGTATTTAATATGTTCCCACTTGGAGTCTTGGTTTTACATATCAGGTCTGTTGTGCAGGTTGTTCTGTGTTATTAGAAAGGATGGAGTTCTGTGGGCATTTTTGTGTTTTTGCTGGTTTTGGTGTTTTTTGTTTTTTTTTAACAAAGGGCTTCCTTTTTCTAGACTTTGTAAATCACATGGTTACAAAACCTCTGTTCCTGATTTTTTTTTTCTTAGCTTTGGTAATACTGGCTGGTCCTTAGCAGAATTTCCAATCTATGGACATTCAGGGAAGAAGCAGGTTTCCTTTATGAGGAAAGAAAGAGAGGAAAAAAAAAACCCCTTCTTTCTCTCCCTTTCTATGTTATTAAAAAGAATATTCTTTACAAAACCTGTTGGACCTTTCTTCTTAGGACATCTTGTGTAAACAGCCTGACCCTTTTCCATGTACTGTAAAAATCTCAAGCAGTTGAAGTGTTGGGAAGATTTCTGATGACAGGCAGAAAAGCACACGTGGGCTTCCTCAGCCCACCCTGCCAGCCTGTCAAGGCTTCACACAGTGGGTGTGTTATCCCCCAGCCAGCCTGGTTCTTCCCAGTATGCCCCTGTCTCCTTCTGAGTCAGGCAGAGCAGACTGATGGATTGAATGGGAGCAGGACCATGTAGCCAATGGCACCAGCTTTTAGGGGACAAGAATGATTCTGGACTTCATGATACCTCAGCAGAAGTTTGGTCTGATATCCTCTTGGAAATGGTGTTGCTTAGAATCAATTCCAGCTAGTGTGGAGCTGGACTTGATGTGTGGTGTATTAGGAAAAATGAATATTGGTAGGAGGATGGCAGTGATCCCTGAATAACAGAGAAGGATGAGATGGCAACCTGGCCATGCAAAGAGGCTCATATTGACTGGGAGGTCTGGGCTGCCCACTGCTGCCAGAGCCATGTTCCCCCTTCCCCCCCTTCCTCCCCACCTTTGTAGGTAATGTGCCAATCAGAGCTGAGTTACCTCCTTTCTTTTCAGACTGAATGTGAATAACATCCAGGAGACTTGCCAGAAGAATGCAGCCTCAGCCTTGGCCGTGGGCCGGAGGGATCTCGTGCAGGTATGCCATGGAACCCGACCTCTTCCTCAGCATGCTGTGCCACCCTCCAATGGCTTGTGGTGTCACCAGCACCCAAAGGCCACTGGGGTTCAGCAGCTCTGTCAGGGACTCCCTGGGTGGTGAACCTGGCCTGTGGAAAGGCCACCAAGTTGGTCCCTACCTCTCTGACTCTGGGCATTGAGAGATTCCTTCCCAGGGCTGCACACAGATTCTTTTATGCCCTTTGCCATACTGAGTGAAACACATTTTTCAGGAAATTCCTGTAGGCAAAGTGAGGAATGCAGCGTGCTTTTGAGTCATCAAATGGAGTAACTGTGCACAGAGTTGCCTAGCTGCTGTCAGCATTTTGATCCGTAATTTTTTTCGTACTTATGTAATTGTTCCCATTGTTTGGCATTCTGCTGGCACTGGATGCTAACTTCAGCTATCTTCTCCCAAGAGAGCCTGGGCCAAGGGGCCCCAAAATGGGGCTGGCTATTTGCCTTCAGCTGAAAATAGGAGAAAAATGGCTGTTGTGGCCCATGCTTTTCCCTGTGATTAGCCCATTGCAACAGGCAGAACATTTGGCAGGACATGGAAACACCTGAAAGAGATGGGAGTTGGCAGTGCCACGGGAGCTGTGCACATCTCCTCAGCATTTGGCTCTTCCTGGAGCTGGATAGGCAACATGCACAGGCCTACCTGATCTAAGCAGAAGCTGACTCAGGCTGTTGTCTTGCTTCTTGGTGGGTTCTGCAACAGCAGCAGAGAGAAAGTAGGTCTAGTTCCCCTTTGTCTGTTCTTCTCTTGCTGTCTGGTTTGTCCACATTGGACCAGAGTTTGGGTGGAGTAACTTCAGCAAGATTCTCTGAGATAACTCTGTTTCTTGCCTGGTTTTCCCTGTCCCATGTAACTCTAGCCTGTAGTGCAGCTCACAGCAGACATACAGGCTTGACTTGCAACTCACAGGTTTGATGTGCTCTGTAGCAGTGTAGGAAGTGCCATCTTTCCTGTTTGCTTTCTGTGCACTCTCTTACTCAGCCCAGTCCTTGTTTCGGTTTCTCTTCTGTTGCTCTCTGATTTCACAGTGAGCAGCTTTGGGACTGCTTTTTCTGGCTGTTTGTTCTTTGTATTTGGTGCATTTGGTTTTTCTTTATTGTCCACGTTGTCAGTTCTCTGATTTCTGCTGTCTTTTTGGCACCATGCTCTTTTTCCTTTCCTGCTTTATTTTTCATACTAAACCAGGAGCTTTCCTTTAACCTGGAATATTCTAACTGTCCCATTTGTAAAGGCACAGCAGAAAAAAAAAATAGTCTTAGATCAGTGGTATAGAGACTGACAAGATGGAACTGTTTTCAAAGTAGAGGATGATAAATGAAGGAGAAATTTCATGTGAAGTGGTTAATCTTCCGAAACAGAAAAAGCAAACTGTCCTGTCTGTGCCAGGCTGCATTAGGAGAATAGCACTCAGTGATACCACTAATGAAAGAGTACTTCTCATGCAAATAATGATTTACCAGTAAACTTTCTGCCACCAGACATCTCTGAACCCAAGAACTGTATTAAATCTAAACCTTTTTGAGGCTAGTGACTATAAAATGCACTAATAGACAATAGACTGTTCTGCTTTTGCATTTAACCCAAACACAAAGCGAGTGGGACAGGGAGAGCTTTGGTTTTGTGTTATTCTCTGCATTAATCGTGACACAGAGACCGAAACTGTTCCCTGCTGTCAGGGGGAAAAAAAAAAACCAAACAGACAAGCTCCATTATTATCTGTCTGTCTGTGTGTGAATTTGTGCACACCTATGCCCTGGGAGTGTGGTTAATCCTAATTGCAGCTTTGCTGCTTTTCCTTCCTGTCTGCCAGGTTTGGTCACTGGCCATGGTAGCCACTGATCTCTGTCTTGGACCGAAGTCTGACCCGGATTTAGAGATACCTTGGGCACAACATCCATTTGGACGTCAATTACTGGAGTCCTTGTACGTGTCTGAATGCTGGGGAGGGGTTGGGGAATGGTTGCTGAAGCAGAGCCCTCCATAACTATCTATGTGTAAGGGTTCATTTCAGGTTTGGGGTAGTGCCACAGCATGGACTTTTTCCTGTCTCAAGCCTGTGATGCATCACAAAGGGAAACTCCAAATGTGTTTCTGGCATACAGGAGACAGCTCTTGACCTTCCACCTATCACTCAGGTCTTTCTTGGCCAGCATTGAGCAATAGCCAGACACAGGTGGAGCTCTGCTTTCCATGCCCACAATGCTTGACTTGGAGATTCGGGTTTCCTGCTCCCCACTAAATGAGCCTGTTGGTGCAGCACTTTTTTTTCACCTTCTGTTTTCCTGTTTGCTTTATTGGGAAGTGTTCCAGTGGCCACAAAGCCAAGTGTTAGCTACAAATGTTTTCCATGTGAATCTGCTCAGGAGTTACATAATCCATGACTGATATTATTTGTTGATCCATGCTATTTGGAAGTGCAGGATTTGTGTGCTGTGCTTTCCATGCCATTGCTTGGCTGAGCTCTCTCCTGCTGCGTGGCAGCAGTGGGACAGCATAGGTTGTTGTTCTTTATCACTCTCAGCCTTCAGAGCAAACTGGAAACTTCTAGAAAGCCTGCAGCAGCCTTTTGCCTTGTGATCCAGGTGCAGGACGCTTGCACCCAGAGGCCTTTGTAAAAAAGATGTGGCTGGGAGTGAGTCTAATGGCTCCAGCACTGCAGCAGAGCCCAAGTACTGCTGAATTCCCAGAGCTCCCATCTTTCTCCCACCAGTTAGGGTGTGAGCGTTTTCAGAAGCAGAACTTGGCTCCTCAAAGGTGTGACAGAAAAGCCAACCCAGTCCCCAGTCCCTCAGTGCACATGTCTCCTGTGGGCAGTCATGACACCCAAACCCGTGTGTGCAACAGGCTTGAAATTGGCTGCCCTGGAGTCTCAATGGTTTTGCTACTGAATTCTGCCCAGTCTCACACTCACTGTCTTTTTCATTTCCCAGGCTGGCTCATTACTCACAGCTCCACGATGTCCAGACCCTGGCCATGCTCTGCAGTGTGTTTGAAGCCCAGTCCAGGCTCCAGGGATGCCCCAACTCTTGTGTCCCCTTTCCTCAGCGTGCCTCCAACCTGGCCTCCCACAGCCGATACGTACGGTCACCATTTCATTCCCATTTGATATCTTTGAACATCTCTCACATAGATGACATGATTTATTCTCCTTTCCCCCTCAACAGCCCAGCTTTACTTCCTCTGGCTCCTGTTCCAGCATGTCAGATCCTGGGATTGGCACTGGAGGCTGGAGCATAGGTATGAGACCTGGCTAGTCAATAAAGGAATCTCTCACCCTTCCATCCAAGGTTTTAGATGGCTCCTGTGGTGGGGAAAAGAGGGAGTTAGTACTGGCTGTGACTGCAGATGTGCTCTGCCAGAGCAGCTCTGTGGGGCTTGGCCAGGATGGTGTGACTCCATGGCTGGAAGTGAGCAGGCCTTGCAGTATCTGTGTCAAGGCTCCTGCAGTCCTGCACCTTCTGACTTCAGTAGATACTTCATTCAATGAGTATCAAAAATGGCCCCAATATGTCATCAGCTGGCTAATTCCACAGCATTTGGGGTAAAAGCAGTGTTGGGCTTTCTTCTCTCACTGGAAGAAACCTAGCAGTTGGAAAGACTGGGTTCTCGGTGCTCTGAATATCCACAGAGGTTTTTCAGTGTGACAAAGGGGGCTGTGGTGTCAGAGTGGAAACTTTTGGCAGATTCCTAGTGATACACACAGCCTGGGGCAGCATCAGCCCTGTTAACACCACAGCTGTAACTTTTCAGTGTGGTATCAAGGCATGGGGAAGAGGAGAGGATGGGGGTTAGGGAAGTGGAGAATCTTTTGTAGCAGTTATTAGCAGTCATCTCCCTGCCCCCAGGGCTGTACCTTGCATGCAGAGGCCCCTTTACGTAACAGCAGTCCTGGTGATGAGAGTCCTCCCTGTCTAGGAAAGAGGAACCCACGTCCGCCCAGGAAACTGTTCCCAAGCAAACTCCATGGGATTGATTGCCTGGTTACCTTTTGTCTAAAGCTGAAGGCAAAAGGGATTCCTCCACAGCAGATTTCTCTGCCTGGTGATGCCCATTAAGTCCTTTCACTGGAAGTGTAGTAGAAGCACTTGGCAAGCAGAGGCTGGCACGAAGTTCTTGGAGGCGGGGCAGTGTTTACTGGAATGCAGAGGGTGGTAGGACAGAGATAGGACTGAAACACGGGGGTGCAAACCTGTGGTCTTTCATGTCCCTTCCTGATTGCAGTTTGGAGGGGGGAGATGCACTCACAGCCTCTTGGTGTTTGCAGCAAACAAAGACACAGAGCAGACCTCCACTCCCTGGTGCGAGTCTTCTCCGGATGACTTCCGCTATGGAAACCTAACGTATCCTGATCCTCGGGAGAGGGAGAAGGACCAGCATGAGAAAAACAAAAGGTAGGTTATCACATGCCTTGTGGGTACTCAGAGATGCCTTACTTGTGTCTCAGTCACATGGAGCTCCATGGCCAGGTCTCTTGGTGCTGTGCAGTACCACACCTGTCCATAGACCTTGTCATTCACACAATTACTTGAAGAAGCTTCGTCCTGCAGATCAGTGCTGCTGGAATTACACATGATGCATCCCTAAGAGGCCATGGTGGGGGTCCCAAAGGACAGTCCACCCATGGAGTGTGTACCCTGGAGTGTAGAACAAATCAAGGCCAGAGCAGTTTGTGTTCAGCGATATTTCAGCAACCCGTGGGAAGTGCCCTGCTGCATTTCCAGCAATGTGAGCTGGTTGCGTAGCCATTGCAGGAAAGAGGATTGCAACCCAAGTCTGAGAGTCAACCAGTTACAGGCCTGTTTGTTCCTCTAGGCTGCTGGATCCTGCCAACACTCAGCAATTTGATGACTTTAAGAAGTGCTATGGAGAAATCCTTTATCGCTGGGGCCTGCGAGAGAAGCGGGCTGAGGTTCTGAAGTTTGTCTCGTGTCCTCCTGATCCTCACAAGGGAATTGGTGAGTGTCTGGTCCAGTTGTTCAGGCAGAGCCACAACTCTGCCTGGGGAGCTTAGGAACATGCAATCTGCAGGGCAGGATGTGTCATGAATGGAATGGACAAAGTTTATCAGAGATCCACCCAAGCGAGTCACAAGGGTTTAAAGTGGCTATATAGGTATAATTGAACCTTGGTACAAATTGTTCCACAGAATTAATGATGGCAAACCAATTATTTAATATGAATAAAATATGAAGGGTTTATTTAAATTGATGAATATAATGATAATCATTTGACTAAAAAGACCTTAATCAGAGTTATTTACCACACAGTATAGAAAATGAAAACTAGAATTACAATGCACTGGTTATTAAATAAATAATATCAAAGTTAGCTTAAAAATTATCAGGTAGACATTGATGTCCATCCATAGCAATGACCATGGGCAAATCTCTCTCACTCAGCTTTGAGGAGTGACATTGAGGGGTGTCCCCACCCAAGGTCAGGATCTTCACACACACCTAAGGGAGGTGTCTTAAAATTTTTCACCATTTAAAAATGGAACTGGTCTTTATGGTATGGAGTGATTGACTGTCAGTCACACAATTTTAGATAAAATGTTGTCCTGCCTGCTCAACAGAACGTGCTTTATTTTTGAGTAAGACGCTATCAGCTCTATGGTTTCTTCTTCTGTAAACATCTGCCTCTCCCTTCCCTGCCAGGGTTTTCACATCCCTGTTGATGCCAGCATTTGTGCCTTACCTATCCATGCAATGGGTATAATTTGGGGTAGTGTGATCAAGCTGGTTTCAGCATTCTTCAACGCCAAGAACAGCAGCCCACCCCCCCTCCTGCTCAATCCATCACTGATAGCTTGCAAGTAAGGCAGAATCCAAGCTGTTTTATTCCTGCTTAGGCAGAGCATCCTGCTACATGGATGAAGTGTCCATTGGTTACTGAAATGTCACAGCAAATGTGGCATTTAACCTCTGACAGAGGCCAGCTCTGCCAGTAAATGGGTTTGACTTCTTCACAGTTCTGGGTGGAGGTGAGGATTGCAGGTGTTGGTTCAAGGGCTTTGTAGGCTGTAATATCTCTCCAGGAAAGCTGAAAAATTCACATACTGCCATGCCAGCAATGCTCAGCTCTGTGCTGATGAATGACCTTTATTCCCTCTGAGATGCTCTGTCTTCATCTCTGATCCTGGGCCAAAGTGTCCTTCTGTTAAAATTGCAAGATCTCTAACTAGGTGAGCTAGCCAGCAAATAGGTAAAGAGAACTTTCCTCCCAAAATACTTTCAGCAGCATAGATGCCCAGGTTAAGGACAGCTACCAAATTGTCTTCTTCACAGACCTATAAAAACAGATGTGCTTCACCTGGGGGGAGAAAAACAGGTGAAGGATGCCAGAGAAAAAGCAGTAATCTCACTTTGTCACCCGAGACAACTTCTGGGGAGTAATTGGAGTGAAAACAGGTGACTTAATCCACTGCCTTTGCTCCTCCATGGCTGAGAGTCTGATGCAGGAGCATCAGGCGGGACTCTCTGATGAGAAATGGAGGCTGTTCTTGCTTGCTTAGTGACGCTTCATAGTGCTAAGAGGTGGATGAGACCAGCAGGAAGCCTTCATGAGTCAGTGTCTCCAAGGCTTGAAATCCACCTCACATTTCCAGCAGACAGCTGTAGCCATCAGGGGAATTGGTGGGCCAGTCAGTGCCTCAGTGCTCCAGTTGCACATTCCTTTAATCGCATGTGGAGAACAAACCAAGATCTCTGAACACCCTCCCATCCTGGTGGAGCTTTGAGGCAGTGTGAGGGGCTGTTTGCAGGATTGTTTGTCTGCGATTCCAGCACTGACTCTCCCCCTCTGTGTGTGTGTGTGTGTGTGTGTGTTTCCCTGGCAGAGTTTGGCGTGTACTGCAGCCACTGCCGCAGCGAGGTGCGCGGCACCCAGTGCGCCGTCTGCAAGGGCTTCACCTTCCAGTGCGCCATCTGCCACGTGGCCGTGCGCGGCTCCTCCAACTTCTGCCTCACCTGCGGCCACGGCGGCCACACCAGCCACATGATGGAGTGGTTCCGCACCCAGGAGGTCTGTCCCACGGGCTGTGGGTGCCACTGCCTGCTCGAGAGCACCTTCTGAGCACTGGGGACAGCGGGCACTGATTGAATATTTAATTCCCAAGCCATGCTGAGTCAGCTCTGCTCTGCTCCGCTCTGTCTGGAGGAGGTCGCCGCAAGGAGCTGGAGCAGGACGTCCTGGCGGTGTGCTGTGGTGATGTTTACAAGTGCTTCCATTACTCCTATGCTTCCCAGGTTGCTTTCTGACCAATTTGACCAAATTCCCTGTGTCCATTGCTGGCAATGGATGCCAGACCAGAAAAATTGCTCTCTCCTGCAGAAGGGTGTATGAATATTCCTTAGTTTGGGATGAAGAGGTTTTTGAAAGCTCCCCTGGAAGGGGCCCACCTGGCAGAGCCAAACTCACTTCAGCAATGTAGAGTCTTTTCCAGGTACCTCCTTACATGGGCTCAAACTGAGCAAAACAATTGTTTTACACAAAGCAGAAATAATTCTCAAGCAGCAGTAACCTCTGAAGGTGAGTTGTAAGTGGCGCTTGAAGAGGAAATAGTCCATGGAACTGTGCTCAGAGTTTCCCTGGAAGCAGCAGGGTCCTTACTTTGAATGGCTGTTTACATCGTTTAGATTTCCCCACAAAGCAAGGAAAGGAAATGGCATTTTTCAGGATTACATCTTAAATAATTTCTGCTCACTAGTCGGTACCTGTGAAAAGCCCAGATAAGCACCCAAGGTCCCTGGGATTAGTTGCTTCCAGCAGTTTTAGTACTGTTAGGCTTTAAAGTGTCTCCATCTCCTGCTCTGACCAGGTGATAAAATGCACTTTAATTTGTCCCTGTCTTAGTGGTGATACTTCCTGGTCACTGGGAAAGGCATCTGCGTTTTGAGTTTGGGATCCACACTGTCTTTAGATGTGGTGTTTTAGAAAGCCTTTGCTCCTTCACTGAGAGCACACAAAGAGGACACTTACTCAATACAGCTCCTTTTGGCTGTTTCCAAGCTCTATGGGGAAAATTAGAGTTAATTTGAGATTTGCTGCTGCTGGAGTGATGAGGCTCTTCAACAGGGAGGCAGCAGTTTCTAGGGAAAAAGGGGGTTTGGAAGAATGGTGGAATCCATGGAGGCAATAGGTTTAACTGTGGAGCATAACTGGGGAATGTACTGATGGATCTGTCTGTTTGGGGCTGTGCCTGCAAGCTACTCCCAGTGCAGGGATGCTGCTGTGCAGTGTGTGCACACCTGGAATGTGCAGCCTGTGCCTCTCCAGGGCTGGCTTCAGCCTGAGCTTTGGATTTGGGTTAATGTGTGCCAGGGATGAGCCAGCTGGAGCTACCCCTACCTGTACTGGCACGGATCCCTTCTCCCACGCTTGCCTGCTGAGTGGGGCCACGTGCCATTGCCCTTCCCAACCCCTGTGCTAGCTCAGGCAGTGGGATCCTGCTGTGGAAAAAACAGATGATGTATCTTAACCAATTAAAACATTAAAATTATTTTTTTAAGTGCTGTTCTGATAGAATGTGGTGTTGCTCTGATGGCTCTCTCTCTGGGGGGAGCCCCCAGCAGCTCTCCCTCCCAGTGGGTGGTGAGTGTTGCACCCATGGCTCTCTCCCTGCGCCCCAAAGCAGGGGCTCGGTAGTAGCAGAGCCCCCAAAGATCTGTCCCCCAGCGCTGGCAGGGACGATGTGCTGGCACCTGCCACACCAGCCTGGGAACTGCCCGCGGTTGTGAGGCTCCTCTTGGGAAAGCGAAGCCGGGCGGCGTCTGAGCTGCGGGCAAACCCAAGCCCACGCGCTGCAGTTTGGGGAGGCCCTGGGCAGCGTCTGCCCCCCGGGAAAGCGGGCGGGGGCACCGGGGTCCTGCCGGCGCCGCCGCAGCCCCGGGGCCGGGGCGCTCCTGGCCCGGAGCTGCCGGGGAGCGCTCCCGCCCTCCGCCTCCCTCCGTGACAGCCACTCAGCTGGGAAGTATTCTCATTTCCATGCTCGAGTGCTCCTGGAGCTTGGAAGGGAAAGGAGATTTGTTATTTAAAGGTGACGGACCGACAAATCGTGGTATTTAGTGTGTTATTACAGTCCATTACGGTCCATCTCCGTAGTATGTGAATGCCCCCGAGGCGGAGCACGCCGGCACTTCAGAGGAAGGCGGAAAAGCCCTTGCCGTGGTGTTTGTGCAGCCCTGCACAGGTAGGTGGAATTCTTCCCGGATGCTGCCGGCATTTCTCTCACACCCTGCAGCATGTCTGGTGGTTCCTTTGGGAGCAGCCCCACTCCGTGCAGAAGTGACTATTGCAAGGAAACACAGCCGGCTTATTCCGCCTGCCTGGAGCCGGTTGAAGAGAGAAACGTTGTTGCCTTTGCTGTGCAGGGCGGCAGTAAATGGTCAGAAATGGGGCGTGGTGGTGCCCCCCGCCTGCCCCTTCTGTGCTGCCCACCCCCGACTGCCTGTCCCCGTATCCACCTGCTCTTTGCAATAACTTGGTGCCAAGTGCAAAAAGTTCCCCAGTGAGGCCAAACCTCTCTCTGAATTGCAGCCTTAGAGAAGGGAGGGGAGCAGGGACTGCTCAGGCAGCGAGTGTGGGCCAGAGTGTGCCCCAGACCAGCTCTGGGGATGCTGCCGTGGGCAAGCCGGGTGAATTGATAGAGCCCTCAGCTGATGCACAGTGCTCGGGAACGTGCTCAGCCGTGCTGCAGGGCAGGGGATGACCCATCCATGGTTTCTGCTGGAGCAGGAGCAAGGGGGCATTGGATTAAACCAGCTGCTCTGCACGAGGCGGGAGCACTCTTTGCACTGCATGGGAGGGGTGCCAAACCACTTCCCTCAGGGCATCCCTGGTGCCGCGGGTGTGCCAGGGCTCCAGGAGTGACTGGACACTGCCAAGGAGAGGAGCTCCATCCCTGGCCAGCTCCATCCAGAGAGCCCAGCAGCAGTGCTCTGCAGAGATGCCCACGCACCCCACCCCTGCTCTGGCACCCTTCCCAGGCTGGTGCAGAGGAGGATGACGAGGGCAGAAGACCTTAGGTCTGACCCTGAAAACAGCTGCTTGCCAAAACTTGCTTCAGCTGCCTGCCAAGTGCATCCCAGGAGCTGTTACCTGTATATCCATTAGCTTTCCCAAGGACGGGGCTGGAAGAGGGAGAGGGCTCCCACGACAACCCACGCTGTGCCCTAAAGGCCACTGTCAGCGTTTTAAACCCTATTTGTTTTCCTGCTGAGGGTGTAACAAGTGTGGTGTGCCTTCCCTATCCCCATTGAGGCTCTCCATGTGCAGAGAAGGAAGTTTAATCCCTGATGATCGAGTTTGGCAGAGAAACAGGGAATGTTTAGCAGAGAGGAACAACCTTTCCCATGGATGCAATACCAAGCAGAGTCTCTACTGGCCTCCTTCTCCTTGCTCCATTATCCCAGCATCAGCCCCTCCAGCAGTGCAGGGCCTGATCCTGCCCCCGAGCCCAGCAGCACATTCCTGCTGTCTCCTGTGTGCCAGCCCCAGCGTCTGTCCGTCTGTCTGGTGGGGAAACCAGTTTAGGAACTGATGAGCCAAAGCCACTTGGCTGCTCTCATTCCAGCCAGGCTGATCAGCAAACCAGCTACACTTCCTGATCCTGCTTGTCCTGGGGCTGGCACGGTGCAGGGACAGGGACAGGGACAGGGATGAGCACAGCAGCAGAGACAGGGCATTGGCACAACCCTCTGCTGCCAATTTGTGCTGTTATGCTGGTGTACAGTTTGTTCCCAGCACTGTCCCTGTCCCAGTGCCCCCTGTGCTCAGTGCATTCCTGCTCTGCAGCTGCCAGGGTGCCCCATTCTCACTGCAGAGCTGGGGACTGGCTCACCCACTGTGGGGACACCCTTGTGCCCTGCATGGGGGGACAGAGCCCCACCACAGAGCCCAGGAGGAAACATGGGCAGATGAAATGTCAGCTCACAAGAGCCTGGCTCATATCCCTGGGCCCTGCTGTGGCACATTTGAGGACCACAGATCTGTGAGCTTGGGAGAGAGGATGGCAGCAGGGACCCACAGGTCACCCAGCATTTTTGTGGGCTGGCAAAGGCTGGACCCACCTTTGCCATGAGTGGTGATTACAGAGAGTGGCCCTTGGCAGCCTGTGGCCCCAAAACCCATGGTAGGGCTGGGCTGCACAAGCAAGAACAGCCAGTGGGGACTGCATGGTGGGATCACAGCCAGGTGTCCCCTCCATCTCCTCCAGCACCTCACAAAGGGATAGTGGCCACTGCACCTGAGCATGCTTGGGGTCTGGGGTCCCTGGTTTGGGATTGGGTGCAGTGGCCTCCAGCTGAGAGCCCCAGCTCATTCAGATCTGCCTTGCCCCCATGCTCATCAAAAAATCCTCAGTGTCCATCCAGAGGCCACCCTAATGCCCAGAGAGCTGTGCCAGATTGAGCTCACCTGCCACAACCAGGACCACCTTGACCATTGAGGGAATTGAGGGACCCCCCTGGGAGAGCGTCCCACTCCAGCAATTCATTTGGGGTCTCCCAGCAACCTCTCAGGACTACTCTGGCCCTCCCAACCCCCAGAAAATATTTTTTTCTTCCACCCCAAGGGGGCTCCCAATGCTTCCACCCCAGGTGCTGCAGCAGCCCCAGCCAGGAGCATGCCCACCCTTAACCCTTCTGTTCCTATCAGGGTGCAAAATCAACCTGCCCACCCAAAAAAGGACTTTTCCCCCAGGCAGGAGGCAGGGCTGTGCCAGGAGCCGGGTGGGAAGGTGGAGTCGACTGCCACAGCAGGTTTTGCATCCACCTTGATTAAAGACCTCAGTGAGGGCCTGGCTTGCGCCCCACAGCACCCCAAGGCCGGGGGGCTGAGTGTGTGATGGATGACCCACCCTTACAGGTGGGGCTGGGGGGGCTCCCCATTCCTGGGATGGCAAACCCCACCTTAATCACTGGTTGCAGCTCGGTGTGGCCAGCAACGCCAAGTTTGCTGACATGTGGCCAGCCCCTGTGGTCAAGGGTGTCACCCCAAAGCAGCCCCCCTCGCTTCAGAGGGAAATCTTCCCAAAAAATGCATGGGAAACTCCTTTCCTGTAATTCTTTATTAATTACTTGGCTGTCATTCTTTGGGGTATTTGGGGCTGCTCCTGCCCCCCTGGCGAATTGCAAATTTAATTAAATACTGAAATATATCTTCAGACAGCTGGGAAAGGGATGTGGTGCCTGGCAGCAAGTGACACTGGGGTGAGTTGGCCTCTGGGTGACCCCTCTGGGTGACCCTGCTCTCCTTGGGCACTTTGAGCCAGGACTGGGGTGTCCCTGCCTTGGCCACCGAGGGCCTTGGAGGGGGATTGGTAACTTGGGATGGGTGATTTCCTCCAGGGGTGCCCTATACCCCCAGCTACCACCCCAGGATGCCCTCACAGCCTCATCCCTGCCCATACTCCAGTTCCACCCTGGGGTGCCCCCCATAACCCACCCAAGGTTGCCCAGACCCCCCATTCCCCACCCTGACCGTACCCCTGGGCCAGGGGGGCACACTCCCCTCCCCGGGGCCGCCTCATTTCCCCGTTCCCCCCGTGGGTGCCCTTTGCCCCCTTTGCCCCGTTCTGCCTCTCCAGGGATGCCTCATCCCCACTTTCCAGGGTACCTGCGCTGGGGCGGAGCCTCCCCACCCCAACCGTGCCCCACCCGTCCCTGGCTGCCCAATGGGCTGCGGCGGGGCGCGGCCCGGGGCGTGGCCTGGCTGCATATGCATGTATGCAGATGAGCAGGTGCGGGCAGAGCGCGGCGGCGGGACGGGACGGGGACTCGGACGGGGAGCGGAGCGGAGCGGGACGGGCACCGGCGGCGGGGCCATGGCCACGGCGGGGCCGCGGTCCTTCAGCGCCGCCGAGGTGCGGGCGCGCTGCGCGCAGGGCGCCTGCCTGGTCTCCTGCCGCCGCCGCCTGTACGACCTGAGCGGCTTCGTGCGGCTGCACCCGGGCGGGGAGCAGCTGCTGCGCCGCCGGGCCGGCACCGACGTGAGCGCCGCGCTGGACGGGCCGCCCCACCGGCACTCGGAGAACGCCCGCCGCTGGCTGGAGCAGTACTACGTGGGGGACATAGAGCCCGGCGACGAGCAGGTACCGCCGCGGGGCCGAACCGGGACCGGGGGGACACGGGCTGGAGGGGAGCCGGGGGTATATCCAGCCTCTGCGGGGTGCCTCAGGCGCTGGGTCCAGGTGAATAAGGGCTGTGGGGTGCCCCACGTCCCGGAACTGGCAAATGGAGAGGCTGTAGGGTGTCCCAGGTGCTGCTCCAGGATGTGCAGGGTCTGTACAGTGAGTGTCCTGATCCCAGATCCCGATCCAGGATGTGCAGGGTCTGTGACAGTGAGTGTCCCGATCCCAGGTCCTGATACAGGATGTGCAGGGTCTGTACAGTGAGTGTCTCAGTCCCAGGTCCCGATCCAGGATGTGCAGGGTCTGTACAGTGAGTGTCCCAGTCCCAGGTCCCGACCCAGGATGTGCAGGGTCTGTACAGTGAGTGTCCCGATCCCAGGTCCTGATACAGGATGTGCAGGGTCTGTACAGTGAGTGTCCCAGTCCCAGGTCCCGATCCAGGATGTGCAGGGTCTCTCTAAGGCACCCCAGGTCCCCAGGCTGGCAAAAACCGTGCTTCTACAGGGCACCCCACGTCCCGGGACTGGGATGTACAGAGAGATTATGGGGTGCCCTAGGTCCTGGATTGAGTTTTGATAGGATGCTCCAGGTCTGTACTCTCTGGGATCTGGGCACTGCTGGGTTTATAGAGCATCTCAAGTCCAGAGTGCATGGAGTCTAAGATGTGCAGGGTCTGTAGGGCACCCTGGATCCAAACTGTGCAGGATCTGAGTCATACAGGGTCTGTAGGGCACTCCAGGTCCAGGCTTCTCAGTGTCCAAGCTGTTCAGGACATACAGAGGCTGGATAGGCTTTGGGGTGTACAAGGTAGGAAGTTTCTGGGGTGCATGTAGTGTATAAGGTGTTTAGTGCACCCAGATCTCAGTCTGAGCTGTATGGGACATGGTGTGTGTTGGGTGTGAGCAGGACAGGACCCATAGGATCAGGCTCTGTAGGATCTGGGGTCTACAGGGCATGAGGGGTGAAGGGGACAGAGGATGTTTGAGGCTCCTGGGATCTTGCATGGGTGGTGCCTGACGTGTGCAGTGTGCCAAGGTCCCATGTGCCTCCTGGCTCCCAGGAGTTCTCTGGGTCTGAGGTGCAGGGGACCCTGGGCCCCATAGGGTGCCAAGTGCACAGAGCTGGGTACCTACAGGGTCCCACTCCACGGCCATGTCCCTCCCTGCCATGCTAGGAAGCAGGGCTGATGGGTGGATCTGGGGTGCCAATGTGGCAGGGAGGTGTTGGGGTCTTTGGAGGGGTGCAGGAGATGGAGCTCAGTGTCAGTTTTAGCAGGACTGTATGGCACAGAGTGGGCATTGGGACAGGACACCCTTCCTGGCCCTGTCAGCACCCAACGAAGGACCAAGATGCTGGGCACTGGGGTTTGCCAGTGGTGAGCAGCCCCTGCTGAGGAGCCCAGCCACCTCCCTGGCTGCCTGGTGTGGGGCATGGGACACAGCTCTGTCCCTGCCGCGCCGATCCCGTGCTGTCCAGGCAGAAGGGAAGTTCCACAGCCTCCGGGTGGCACTGGGCACTGCTACCCAGTTTCCAGCCCTCACCAGCGGCCGTGGGCAGGATGCTAAGCAGCAGAGCCAGCCCAGCCCCCTTCTCCAGCCCAGCAGTTCCTCTCTAGGTGTCCCAGCGGGGTTGGTGACCGGCCGGTCCCTTTGGCTGCTTGTTTGCTCTCGCTGCGTGTCCTGCCCAGGGCCAGCCTCGGCCCCAGCACCACAGACGGGGCTTTGTTTCAGCCCCGGTGCAATGCCTGCCTGTTCCCCGGACGGATCCCGGCCATGGCACCTCCTCTGTTGGGACACTCGCTGAGCCGCCGCCTCCTCGCAGGCGTGACGAGCCCAGCGGGCTGGGGTAGGAAGGTACCGGACAAACGGGTTCCCGTGCCGAGGGGAGCTGCCACCATCCCAATGCAAATACATGGCGTGATAACGCCGGGTGCAGGGAGATCTGACACTGCCTGGTGCCAGATAAACCGTCCCAGCCTGGAACACGCAGGGCAGGGATTAGAGCTGCCTGCTGCATGGTGAGGCTGTGTACAGCATGCACTGATGTGTCAGCTGCCCTGCCCTACTCCACACCCCCCCAAAGTCCTCTCTGGGGAGAGGTGGTGTCCTTGGTGGTGCTTGGGTTCGTGCTTTGGGTGCTTTGGGGCAGGTGCAGCCCAAAGAGCTCTTTGGAGGAAGTTTTACATTACCCCAGTTTGATTCCAGATCTCCACAGCTTTGCCAGTGCCTCTCCTTGCCCATTGCGTGTCCCAGAGCTGCATCAACCTCGCACTGAGGGATTCAGAATGCTCTGGTCCCACAGGATCCAGCATCCTCCCCTGCTTCCCACAGGAATTTCCAGGATTTTGGAAAGGGGGAAAAATATGTTAATGAAGGAGAGATAAAGAAGATAAGATCCAGCCTCTCCATGCCCCTTCCAGTGGCTCTCTCCTTTGGCCACAGGTCCCTTTTCTGCATCACCCAAATCCTTTTGGCTAAGGACAAATTAATCCCTAAATATTTTATCTATGCAAGCAGGACATATAGGGGAGATCAAAGTGAGTACCACTAATTACCTAAACTAGACAGTGGATTTTAGCAGCCTTGCTAGAAGGGAACCTGGATCATCTAATTACCCTTCCAATTTGAGCAATGAGGGACTTTCATCACAGCCTCTTTGGGGTGCGTGACGTGCTGTGACTCACAGTAAATCTTCCATCCTTCTCAGGTTTACTGTCCTCCTCTTCCTCTTGCCTGTATTGCTGCACCTGGCTTTGCACCTACCCTGGCTTTGCATCCCAGCCTGAGCACGTTTGGACGTGGGCGGGACACCTGGGGCACCTCTTTGGGGCTGATGTAACAAGAAGTCACTTTTTATATTGCTCCTATGATTAGCAGTTCAATTCACCTCCTTTTAATAGTCCTGCTGCACCCAGTGTTTAATGGGCCAAGACACAGCCTTGTGGGGCTCTGCCAGCCAGAGAACACAGACCACAGTGCTGCTGGCGTGGTGCTGTGGGATGGTGCCCCCACCTTGCTTGGTGCCCTCCGCACCTCCTGGGGTGTCCTCATGCTACATGCCTGTGCCTGCACTGCCAACAGAGCTTGTCCCATGCAAACTGAGCCTCTGAGGAGCTCAGTGAAGGTGCTGGAGGCTGTGGAGCAATGCAGAGGTATGGTAGGACTCCTCTGGGGTTTGACTCACTGGGAAAACGGGTGGAAAATCCCCCTGGGTCCAGGCTTTTGGCAGAGCAGCTGTCTGCAGGCAGCATCGCCCTGTCTGGGCCAGGGGGAGGTTTCCAGCTTCTCTGCCTGTGTCCCAAGAACACTGAACCCTGTGCTGGACCACCCCTTCTGTCTGTAGCCCACATCACAACTGGATTTTGTTCTTTTAATGCCCCAAGCCCTGATGCAGGACAGCACTGGGCTGGCACAGCCCGTGCTCTCCAGCTGGTGCAGGACCAGTGCTGAGCGCCCTGTGTGACCCACGCAGGGCAGCCAGATGCTCTCAGGTGGATGCTGGGTCACCCAGTCACTGGATCATGCCATGCCCTGGGTGTTTGGCCCTGTGTGTACCAGCAGCACCTCACCAGGACTGCTGCTCACTCCCAGGTACAGTGCCTTGTAGGCGTTAACTTTCCCTTCCTTGCATCGGGCCCCTTGTTCATCTTCCCTGGCAGGACCTGTTTGCCTGGGGACAGCTCAGGTGCATCTTCACCACCCACAGGTGACAGCAGAGCCCAGCTCAGTACAGCCCTTCAGCCTCCTCCCAACCCACCTGTTTAGAGGAGAATGGGCAGAAGCCCCAGCAGTGGTTCAGGTGCCATGGGGCTGGATCTCAGCAGGGCCCCTGCGTGCCTGGAGCAGGCAGGAACAGGCCACTCTTTGGGGAGCCAGCTGGGACATGCCAGCGTGGTTTGTGTCCTGGTTGCGACACAGCTCCAGTCCTTTCAGTGCCAACTCCAGGGTGAGCAAGAGGAGAGCCTTCCTCCTGCTTCCCAGCTAAGGAAGAGGAGGGGTAGGAGAAGATTCAGGTGCTAACAGGGAGCTGCCATAGCCCACAGGGCAGTGGCATGTCACTGATGGCACCCAGCCCAGGTGCTGGTGGTGAGGTGGGATGTGAGCCCCCAGTCCATCTCCCTGACCTGGGAGGACCAGGAAGCCTCCAGGCATGACATGGTGCTCAGGCATCCATGGGCAGGGGAACTGGAGGTGTGTGAACATTTCGGAAAAGGGAGGAGAGGTGCCGGGCATTGCGTCAGCCCAGCTTTCCTAAGCATCCTTCCTGCTGCTGGCTGGGCTGTGGTGCAAGCATGAAGGTGGAGAGCCCCAGCTCGTTTCTCAGGGCATGGATAAGCTGCTTCACTCTCTTAAAGCCAAATCTTCTTCCATAGCACCTGCAGGGCAGAGGCAAAACCATAAATCCACCATGCTTTGCTGAATTTTAAGACGTCCCATCTGACCTACGTTTTTGGAATGTCTGGCTGAATGAAGGACAGAGTGTGCAGCATGGAAAATAGCAGTGAGAATCCTCACAGAGAGGTGTGGTGGTGCATGGCATCATCTCATATTGGTGGTCTGCCTGCAGTAAAATTGATGCCAGTGGGATTCCCGCCTGGAAATACTGGTGGAAATATCCCCTGTCCTCCCATGCCCGCTGCCCCAGGCAAGAGGTTGCCTCAGAGCTGGGTAATGCAGTTCCTGTACCGACAGAATGAGGCTTTTAATCCGGCTAGCCCGAGAAATGGGGTGGGAGCACATCTTGCAAGGAGTGCCTGCCGTGGGTAAACAGTGCCTCAGCCCTGCCTGGGTGTCCCCAGCAAGGCACAGGGTTAAGTCCTGACGCCCTGGCAAGGTGACACCGGTTTTCCCGCATCCCAGGCCCTCCTGCAGCTGCCAGGGCGGTATTCCTCTCAACAGGGTGGCAGCGCATCCCTGTCAGAGCGGTGGGGAGAGCATCCACGGAGGAGCGGGGAGAAAATCCTCCCAGTCTGGAAGCGGCACAGCTGAAGCCCCGTCGGGCCCGGCTGAGCTGCGGCCACGCCGTGCCCTGCTCCGGGTTAATGGGTAACCCGGGCTGACAGAGCGGGACAAAGGCATGCTCGGCACGTCCTGCAGGGGAGCCGGCGCTGCTGCCGGGGGGCACGGCTGGTCCGGGCTTTGCATGGGCACGGCCCAGGCCCAGCGAGCCCCCACCGGCGCCAGGGCTGGCACGGCTGCAGGAAGGAGGCTGGCGCTGGCAGCTGGCACCGTGTTTGCGTCCCAGCATCAGACAAGGCAGGTTCCTCCTGTTTCTCAGCCCGCCCTGCAAGCGGGACCGCAGCTGGGTCTCCATCCTGCCGCCACTGCATCCCCTGTGCCTCAAGGTGCTCTCCTGAGCCACGACCGAACCCCACCTCATCTCCCACAGCCCACGGCAAAGGCAGCCAGCCCAGTGTCACCCTGTGAAGGACACTTTGTCTTTTTCCCTGGACAAGGTCGCTCCTTCTGTGTGTTTTTCCTTGTGCCCACAGGCAGGGTGGTGGCACCAGCTGTACCACACTGGCCAGGCCTGCCAGCCCAGCTCTCTGAGGGACCAAAAAGCCAAGCTGGGCTTTTGTTGGAGATCAGTGGGGTGGGAGGAGGGAGCAGTAACCCAGCAATGCCCCAGGCTTTACTGGCAGTGCCAAGGTGACCTCTGCCATGGCACTGCCCATTTGCAGGGGAAGGTGCTGTCCCAGGGCCCAGAGTTTCTGCGTGGCCACTCTGCCGTGCTGTCCTGGCCACAGGCAGGGCATTCCAAACACTGGGCTCAAGAGGAGGTTTCCAAAGAGCGCTGAGCCCACAATGTCTGAAGGGCAGGGCAGCTCACTAGCAGCTGCTTCCCTCAGGAAACCTGCTCTGCAGGAACTGACTGACTTAAATTCACCAGATTTTTCCCCATATTTATTTAGCAGACAGGAGCTCACTCTGGCCATACCCCTGAGTGCTACAGCCATCACCATCCCAGCTGAATCCACCACTGGTGCTTCACCACAGAGTTTTCCTTCTCTTTCCAGGGCCTCTCTGAGACAGTGGATGAGAAGGAGGTGTCTGCAGCCCAGACTCCAGAGCAGACAGATCTCTGCTACAGAACAGTGCATGTGGAGAGGGTAAGAGCTCTGTAGTCTCTCCTACACTGTTTGCCAGAGTGCTCCTGGAAACACCAGGTCTCCTCTTCCCTGCACTCCCCTGTGAGTGCTGGGTTTCTGCTGGGCTGTTGGATGGGAGGGATGACATGAGGGAGCCAAACTGACCCAGCCACTTGTGCCCTTTCTCCTGGTGTGGATGGCATTGCTCATGCTTTATTGCACAGGCGTGGCCACGCTGGGAGGCTCCCATTGCAGCAGCATGGGAGAGATGCCTTTCTCTGACAGCAGCTGTGCCCTGCCACAGGGAAGTGTTGCCAAGCCGCACCTTGCTTGCTTTTATTTCTTTCTTGCTTTATTTATTTTATTACTTTTTTTTTTTTCCCTTGCCTAAGCACTTGAAATGAGCAGGAAGGGATTCCCCAGCCTGGGCAGGGTGATCCCTGTGTGTGCAGGGTGCTTCCTGCCCTGCCAGCTGCTTCCCAAGCTGCCACAACAGGGGGGATTTGTCCCCAAGGTGCCTTTGGCTGTCCCTGCCCTCCATAGCACCATCTGGTCACCACATCTTGCATGGTCCCAGCTGGTTGGTGAGCATGCTTTTATCCTGTAGAAACTTGGGGGTCTTTTAGAGCAGGAGAACATCTTTCACCCCCCTAATTAATATTTTATCACTGAGCACCTTTAAAAGAGAGTGTCCATTTCCAAGTGACCTTTTTGCTTTAATTTTCCCCCCAGTGGAGAATGGCTCTGTTCCCATCCCATACACCAGCTGGGGTTGTTTCCCCTCCTGTGTGATTGTGTTCATCCCTGCCTGCAGCAGAGCCCCCAAAATGCCCACAGCCACCCTGGCTCCTTGCCCTGGGATGCCCTGAACGGAGCCATCCCCACCACTGGCAGCACAGCCCCAGGTGCCAGATGGCTGTGCCAGTGCTGTGTGGCACAAGCAGCCCAAGGAGAGCTGCCAGACACAGGGCTTGGCCAGACAAGTGTGGTTTCAGTCCTGGCATAGGGGTGGGACCAAGAATCTACCTCGTCTGGTCAGGCCAGCAGAAGATGTGTCCAGGGATGCTGAGCAGTGTCAGAGGTGGTGCTGCCAGTTTCATTTTCATGCCATGCCAACATGTGTACCCACACAGGTCCCTTCTTACTCTTGCACCTGAGTTCAGCCATGCTCAGCAGCACTGCTGGAGTCGGTGTTCCCATCCTGTATCCCTGCTCCCCATCCCTTCCCAATTTGCTCCTCACTGGGGTGCCCGAACCGCTGTGGCCACCCCATGTGTCCTTTGCACAAGGAGAAATGTCCTTGGCTGGGGCAGTGCCATGGGGATGGGATCCATATGGCACCAGAGGGGTTCTGCTGGGCCATATCACTGCTCACTATCTAATCTTGGCAGCTCGAGAGGCAAAGAGCCTCAGTTATCAGGGCCTGATGCTGAGCCAGGTCTGGGTACAGCCACCTTCACCTTGATCCACTGGCAGGTACCTGGTGGCACAGGGGTGAGCTAAGCCTGTGTTTGGTGTGTTTGGCCCCTTGTCTGCCCTGTGCTGGTGCTTGTGGGGAGCTCAGGGCACCTTGGAACCAGAGGCAACTGCTCTTGGGGCATGGGAGCCCAGAATCCTGCAGCAGCAGCACCTCAGCTTTGTGTCTGGTACTGGGATGGTTTGTGGGTTCCCCAGCACTGCAACCACTGTCTGCTCCCCCAGGACCTGGTGGACTGGCAGAAGCCCTTGCTGTGGCAGGTGGGCTACCTAGGGGAGAAGTACGATGAGTGGGTGCACCAGCCCGTGGATCGGCCCATCCGCCTCTTCCACTCGGATTTCCTGGAGTTCCTCTCCAAGACAGCATGGTGAGCTCTGCACTGTGCCCGGGTGGTGCCTGCCCTGGGAGGGGGGATGGCTCACCAGCAAGCAGGACACTTCCTCTGACACCTCCTTCTGCCCCGTAGGTACGTGGTGTTCATGGTGTGGACGCCCGTGGTGCTCTATCTCAGCTGGGTCAGCTACACCTCCCTTGCTCAGGGCAACACCAGGCTCTTCTCCTCCTTCACCACAGGTACGAGCAGCAGCAAAGCATTGCTGACCCCACTCTGGGCCATGGGGCGGGAATGGGTTGGTTGGACACCTGCATCCCTTCCTCATCCCTCCTTCTGTACGTGCTCCCCAAAGCCACGTGCAAGAGCAGCAGCTCAGCACCTCTCCCTTGTGGCCACCAGCACCTCTCCCTTGTGGCCACCAGCACCTCTCCCTTGTGGCCACCAGCACCTCTCCCTTGTGGCCACCTGCATGTCCCCTGCATGAAGCCCCCTGTGCCTGCCCACCTCCATTCCCCTCCTCTCACCACAAGGTCTGGTCCCCCAGGGATCAGCAGAGGCACAGAGCCCGCTGGCCTGGGCTGCTCCCTCCTGCCTCGTTCCCTCAGTCCCCACAGCGCTGCGGGTGCTGGGGCGTGTTCCCATCGCCGCTGCCGCCCACCCCGGCCCGGCTGAATGCCGGTGAACAAACCCGGCTCTCAGCGCCGCTGGCTCCGCACAGAGCGGGGCTTGTTCGCCCCAAGCGCCTGCCCTTGAATCTCCCACTGTCTGCTCCCTGCTCCCCCGGGAACAACAAGCGTGGCCGGGGCAAGCTGTCTTCTTTGTTGTCTTCTTTTTTTTTTTTTTTTTTTTCTTTTTTGCTGGGTTCCCTATTTTTTTTGCAAGGTGCCACCCAGTGCCAGCTGTGCCCGGCTGTGGGGTGGGGAGTGCCGGCTGCACAGGCACTCCCTGCTCCCTGTGGCATTCAGCACCTTGCTGCCAAGTTTTGTGGGGTTTTTTTCCCTAAAAATAAGCGGGTTTTGGGGCAATCCAAATTTTGCTAGGAAGGACACAGGGCTGGCAGCCAGCCCTGAAAGGAGGAGGTGGCTGAAAAATGTTCTGCGGGGGAAAGTGACCAACAAGTCTTTTCTTTTTCCCCCCAAAAATAAACACCAACAGCACTGTTTTACTGTCACAAGTGCTGCCTGTGCAACTTAGGTCCCTCCTGCCTTGTTCTGGTGGGTGAAACAGCTTTGTAATGGTGACACAGTCCCTAGAGTGCACATCCAAGCCCCTGTTGGAATCTGGAATGCAGGGAGCTCCCCTCACTGTCTTCCTGAGGCAGCAAGAAGCTGGCTGATCCTGTAAATTAGTAGGAATCAACGGAAAATGTGGTTTAGAGAAGAGCTTGGGCAGTTAGCTCCCTAGAGGAGCTCAGGACAGGAGGTGGATGAGTGGTTGGAGGGAGGGAGAGCTGAGCATCACCCTGATGCCAGCAGGAGGATGGTGATGGATAAAAGCACCTGCGCCTGCCCTGCTGACCACTGCATGTCTCATTGTGTAGAGTACTCCATCCCCGTCCACAAATACTACTTCCCCTTCATCTTCCTCCTGGGAATGATCCTGTGGTCCCTGCTAGAGTACCTCATCCATCGTTTTGTCTTCCACATGAAGCCACCCGCTAGCAATTACTATCTGATCACGCTGCATTTCCTGCTGCATGGGCAGCATCACAAGGTGAGCCGCAGCTCCCGCCCCCGCTGGCACCAGCTGGGCCGTGGGAATGGTGGCCTTTGCCCAGACAGAGCCTGTTGCTGCCTGTTCAGTGTGACTGGTGGCATCCCAAGCGAGGCACTTGCCCAACACCAGCAAAGGCTGTAAAACAGCCCTGGAGGAGCTGGAGTTAAATTTTCAAGCTGTGTGGTTGGGTAAGGGGGAAAACCAAAAGAGCCATAGGCTCCCTCTAGCTTTGCTGGAGGAAATGTGGATCTTGGGCACCTACCAGATAAAGCCACCACCTACCTGGGCATGTGGGGGGGCTGCTCCTGCCACCGGGTACAGCTCTGGGGAGGGTCCTTGCTGTTGGCTTCTCCCAGATGGGTTTCCCTGATGCTTTGCAGGGATGTGCAGGGGGAGGAAGGGTGAGCCAAGAGCTGCCTGTCCCACCATCCCTCTCTGCTTCCAGTCTCCCTTCGACAGCTCCCGCCTGGTCTTCCCTCCTGTGCCGGCCTCGCTGGTGATCGGCTTCTTCTATGGCGTGCTGCGGCTGCTGCTGCCCGAGGTGCTGGGGCTCTCCGTCTTCGTCGGGGGCCTCTGCGGCTACGTCATCTACGACATGATGCACTATTACCTCCACTATGGCTCGCCCAAAAAGGGCACCTACCTGTACGGCCTCAAGGCTTACCACGTCAAGCACCACTTTGAACACCAAAAATCAGGTAGTGACGAGCTCCCCGTGCATGCTGGAAGGGGCAAGGGATGTCAAAGATCCAGTCTACCTGTATGGGTGCAGCTGATTGCTCCAAAATATTTGGGATTTGGGATTTGAGGAAAGTCAAGCACTCTGCTGCTGGGGAAGCAGAATGTGAGGTGCTGTGGCCCAGGGAGAATATTTCCTGGCTCTCAGGGTGAGGATGGGGAGCCAGAGCAGGGGTGAAGGCAGCACCTGTCTCACTGGTGGGCATCAGTGCTGCCTGGAATGCCAAACCCCCATGGTGCTGGGCTGTGAGTGCCTATCCCTGCCCAGGGCAGCATCTCTTCCTGCTGGGAGGTGTTGACAGCTGTAGGGTGAGGCCCTGGGCTTCCCCAGATCCGCCCCACACTTTCCCCAGCCCAGTGCTTGCTCAACCTGCCCTTTGCCCGGTTTCCTAGGAGAAAACACCTCATCCAGATAAGCTATCATCCATGGGGCTTGTTGGCATGGCCCAGCCAGCTCCTGCTCCCTCTGCTCTTCCTCCTCATCTTCACTTTGCCTTCCTCCCTCCCCAAAATGTGGCCACTCCTCCCTCACCAGTTAACGCAGAGCCCTTGCAACATGCATGATGGTGCCATGGGCTGAACTCTCTCTTCCCTGCCCACAGGTTTTGGCATCAGCACACGCTTCTGGGATTATCCTTTCCGGACACTCATCCCTGAGGAGACCTTCAAGAAAGAGGAGTGACAGCCCCAGCCCAGTGCTCAGCTGCTGGCTCTGTTCCCCTGCACTGGGGCTGGTGTCCCCCCCGCCCCCTTCCTGGGGGCTGTGCCACAGCAGTGACTCCAAAGTGGAGCATCCCTGTGGACTGCTGTGGTCCAGCTGTGGCACTGGCAAGGGGATGGGGGGCTGAGGATGGTGAGGAAAGGGGAGGAAGAGGCTGTGGGGTTCCCTGGTGCACTCCTGCCCTACCTCGCTGCCCTCCCCCTCCAGGCTATGGATGCACGGGCAGATCTGCTGCCTGAAAGATGAAGTGCCTGATGCCACCCTCCCTCCTCTGCCCTGGCACCTTGCCAGAGCCCCTGTCTCTCCTGGGCTGCCCTCTCCCCAGGGCACCCGACACGCTGCAGTTGCCTTTATTGCCTAACTCATGCCAAGGGGATTCCCTGTCCTAGGTCCTTCTCCCAGCCCATCTCAGCACAGGGTTTTCTTGGCCTGCAGCCCTTTCGGGGCAGGTCCCACAGCTCTGGATTGTGCCTTTTTCTAACCCATATCTCTCTGTCAGATTTATCAAGTTCATGGTTTTTGTAGACATTGGCTACTTGAAACTCAAACTCCAATGAAAAGAATTACTATGAGATGCCTTTTTTGCTGATCCCGTGATTTTATTTTTTATTCTTTTTTCCCTAATGTTTACTGCAGATATTTAAAGGTTTGAAATAAATTTATATGTAAAACTGTAGACACTACAATTGTAAATAAACTGTATATTTTGAAAAATAAAACTTTCTAAAAAGGGTCTGGGAAATGTATCCCCCAGGGCTGCTCACAAGTCTGTTCTCCCACCCTTCGTGTGTCCCTTTCCAGGTACCGATGGCCCTTGGAGCCACCATTCCTGGCTCCCCTCACCCCCTCAGGCACAGTGAGGTAGGAGATTTACAGGGGATATTCTCAGCAAAGCTGTGTGACGTTGGGGCTCTGGGTAAGCAGAAGCTGCACTCACTTTTCTGAAGTTGGGCAATAGCATCACGTAAACCCCAGAGCTTCCCAAAATTAGCCCGGCTCTCTGACGAAGCCATCTGCAAAACTTCCTGCAGGCCCAGCAGAGGTCAAGCCCTGCTTCCAGCACTGGTGCCCACAGCCCAGCTCCTTTGGTGCTGGGGGCTCCTGGGGCTGGGAGAGGAGCAGGGCTGTGCTCTGGGGGTCTCGCTGCACATGCAGCAAGTTCAGCAGGGCACAGAGCCCTTGCTGTGGGTGTCCCAGTGCCCTGGGCAAACCTTCCCACACCTGCCAGCACAGCAGAACACGCTGTGGTGCTCAAAATAGCAGAAGCATCAACACAGGCAGGCACAACTTCCCCATCCCCTTTTTCCCACTGCACTTCCTGTGGGCAATTCCTTCTTCCATCAGGCAAAACCCAGCACAAGGGCATTCAGCCCTCGGGAATACCCCGGGCAGCTTTCTGGGAACCGGGAGCTGTGCTGGCGTGGGAAGCTGCCTTGCACAATGTCCCTTCCGCTGTGACGCCCTTTAAAGCCGCGCTCGTCCCGCCGTGCCCCTCCAGCCTGCGGAGGCAGCCGAGGTCAGGAGGCACGGGCAGGTCACAGACCTTCCTTTCTCCTGGCGAGCAGAGAGATCCTTCCTTGGGGCCTGCTGGAGAGAGCCTGAAGAGGGTGGGAGAGCAGCTGCAGCTGGATTCTAGGTGCGTTTCCATCTCATTTCCAGCCAGGAGAACCTGGCACCCCTCTCAGTGTTGGCTGTATCAGAGGGGCTGCTGCTAATTTCCTTTCAACGGGGGTGGTTTCTGTCCTTGCTGCCTGCGTGTGGGCTAGGGAGCAGGCACCTTCTTTGAGGGGATGCTGAGTGCACAGAAAGAGCTTGATTTAAAATCTTAGGTGGGCAGAATAGAGCTATGGGGAGAGAATGGGGAGAAGCTGGGGATGCTGGGGCTGTGAAGATGTACAAACCTTTATTAGGTGGGTGACCACAGAGAGAGACATTGAGTAGAAATGAAAATAGATCTTTACAGCCAAAGAAATGGGCTCTGTGGGCAGGAACCCAGGGTGATGTGGGGCCAGAAGCAGGAATGCTGCCCAGGGGATGCTCCTTGGGTCACTGGTGTCCCTGCTCCTCTGGGTGGAAGCTCTCTGGGATTTAGCTCACACATTTAATTATTTAATTAATTAATTAAATTTAATTAATTGTACATTAAATTAATGTACATAAATCAAGCCAAAACATCTCTTGCTACTGTGAGAAAGATGTGCCACTACTGCTGTTACCAACGTCTCTGTGTGTGCCTGCTCCAGTCTGCACAGGCAGCTGCAGTGGGAGGCAAAGCAGGGAAAGCGAAGCAGATGGGGATGTGAGGGGCTGTGGGAGGATGTGTGCCATACCAGGCTGTTCCCTAGGGTGGAAGGCGTGGAAGAGCTGCATCTCTGAGCAGCGCCTGAGGCTTCCCTGCACCAGCCACTGCCATCCCCCGTGGCCAAGCCCTTTGCTGCAAGCATGGACATCGTGGAGAGGGTCCTGTCTGTGGCCCAGGCCATCCATGCCCAATTTGAGCAGGTGAAGTGCTGCAAGCACCAATGCCAGCGCCTCGTGGAGCGCATCCAGATTCTGCTGGAGCCCGTGAGGATCCTCAGGGCTCAGCCACGACAGCACATCTCCCACCATGAAGAGGAACTGATGAAAAAGCTGCTCCAGGCACTGGAGGAAGCCCAGAAACTGGTGATGAAATACAGCCAGACCAGCTGGATCCAGAAGTTCCTGCGAGCCCGAAGTACTGGCGAGGAGTTTGTCTGGGTGAACGAAAGCCTGGAGGACATTGCCCAGGGGCTCTCCCTCCTGCTGCAGGCAGAGCAGAAGCAGGCTTTCCTGGAAGCTTTCCAGTCAAAGACGTGTCGCAGGCAGGATGCCGAGGACCTGAGGGATGACAGAGCTTTCTTGGACCAGGTGATTGCAAGTGAGTGCATTTAGCAAACCCTCCTAACCTGTGACTGCTGGTTGGCCCCTCTCTCCAGCTGTTACCAAGCTCTGGCCTGATGGCCATGAGGAGCCATTTAAACCATGAAAGAAACAAACCACACAGTCATGCTTGTTCATCCAGTGGCTCAACCTCTGCTCGTTTCTCTCCCTAGGTACTGAGGAGCCCAAAGATGTTCTTGAGGAGATCTACATTGACAGGGAATGTATGGAGAGCAAGATGGACTGGATGAAAAGCGAGCTGAACAAAGTCATTCGTGAGATGGAGCGTAAGTCGATGTCACACCACCTCACCCTGTGCACTGTGTCCTTTCCCCCCAAGCCCTGCCTAATGTGTCCCTTGTTCCCTTCTGGCATGTGGTGGGAGCAGGCTTGAAGAAGGTCAACGTTGGTAAAAGAGAAGACATCACTGAGATCAAGCGAGACCAGCTCACCTTCCACAGGCACCTGCAGGACACAGACAGCTACGACCTTTACGAGGGCGAGTACCTCAAGTACCCCGTTGCCATCAAAACCTTCAAGAGGCCACTGACCACTGACCCAGCGTGAGTTGTCCTGGGTGGGAATGAGTGTGGCCCCAGGAGGGTGGCACAGCACTGTGCCATGCCTTGTTCCAGGGATCTCACCACGCTGTCCATTTCCACAGCAAGGTGAGAGACATCTTTGAGAAGGAGATTCAGACCCTGAAGAAGTTTGAGTCTCCAAACATCCTTCGCATGTATGGGATCTGCATTGAGGAGAACGGTAGGGGTGTCACATTAATGTCACCCTTTTCCTCCCCTGCCATCCCCAGTGCTGGCTGGTGGCACATGCCTTGTTGTGGTCCCCTCCCAGGAGGTGGCACAAGGCAGGATGATTTTGCCTTGCAGATGGGAGCCCCTGCTTCTCCATCGTCATGGAGTACTGCAAGCACGGGACGCTGCGGGACGTGCTGAACAAGCAGCAGAACCTCTCCTGGGACATCCGCATTCGGATGGCCCTGGGAGCTGCCAGAGGCCTTTACAGGTGAGCACCTGTGTAATCAGTGAGTAACTTCACCTGATCATCCAAAAGCTGAGTGCGGCTTCCTGGTATCTCAGAGTAAGCCGTGGTTTCCTGTTAGACACTGATTCCCAGTGACACCACCTTGGGACCCTGGTATGGGAGGCTGGTGTAGGGGTAGGGAGTGGATTTGGATGCAGTAGCTCCCATCTACCCTGGGCACAGTCCCCTACATCTGGCTTCAAGGCTGCAAAAGCCTGGAAGGGGGAAATCCCCTTCCCCAGATTCACAGGGCAGATTTGGAAGTGCCCTGCAGCATGGCAGTTCTCCTTACAGGTCCTGCTCATCCACAAGGCTCGTACTCTGCCCACAGCAGCTCTTCCAGCCTGCTGGAAATCTTGGCTTGGCAGGGGTGATCCACCAAGACAGGCAGAGAGCTGCTGGCTTCTCTGATTGCATGTCAGTCATTCCCTCCACAGCAGGAGAGGGCACCAAGGTGGGCATGGGTCAGTCCTTCCTCATCCTCATGTGTTGCCCTTGGTTCCATCCATCTGCAGGTTGCACCAGACAGGGGAGAAGTCCCGACTCCACGGCTGCATCTGCAGCAGCAAGTTCCTGGTGGCTGGGGATTACTGTGTGAAGGTAAGCACCACACTTGGAAATGCTTTTGGGAGTTTTAAATGGTTTTGTGGATGTCTCCCTCCACCAACACTGAAGGGAATTGTGATGGTCCAGGATAAAATGGGGTAGTGACATCTCCTCTATGACTTTAGGCACTTAAACCTCCCTATCTTGGTCTTATCATCAGCAAAGTGAGTGCCCCTAAAGCATCCAGCCTGGGATGAGCTGGAGCTGGGGCCATTCACCTGCCTTCACCTCTGGTTTTGCTTGAGGAAGAGACCCGTGCTGGGCAGCACACACAGCTGCACTCCAGCCCTTGCTGCCCAGGGCATCTCGCTCTCTTTTCTCCATCTTGGGCCAGTCTAGCTGCACCACAGGTTTCTACTTCTCCTTCTCTCTCGTTCTCTCAATCAGCTGTCAGGATTTGAGCTGTGTGAAACAGAATCATCCATCAAGAGGAAAGCCAAGAAGGACTGGAAACAAGTCTCTATGTTGGCCTACATCGCTCCAGAGAACCTGAAAGACATCAACTACCCTTACAAGAGTCCCTGTGAAATATACAGGTGTGTCTGTCCCTC